TCTAGTCGTCGCTATAGCTCGCTACACATCGTTAGGTACTTGTATACATCGTCTCAACTCTCGCTGCGAGACCTATAGGTACCCTGTATATCATCAACACCCTGTATATGACTCACCTCGACAATCTCGTCGTCGTTGTGGTTGGCGGGCGGCGGATGGTGGATGCCGAAATTGGTCAGCGGGGGGGACGGGCGCTGCGGGTGTATGTATCTAAGCACTTTATATACCGGGCGACGTTGCAAGTCCAGTCGATTAAATTACTTAACGTAAATCAATTACATTACTGATTTTAACGCCCGAATCATAAACATTACTATGAGGTCTCACAGTGCGCGTGGACACACAGTGTCACACACGATCGAATCACAGAGCTCTATTCAACGCTGTGCGTTCGATTTGCTGCTTCACTTAAGCAAGCATCGTTTGTGAATACGGGCGCAAGTCGCTCTTAAAGGCTACACCTTGCAAAGTCAGCCTGTATATTAGCGACTTACCTCTAAAGGCAGCGGCGACGACGACTCAGCTCAGACCCGGTTTCCATCAAGGCGGAGCGGAGCAGAAAAGTGTTTTGAAAACCCAATAAAATTTCATTATTTCTACATCTTCACTCCGCTCCGCTTCGGTGAAAGTAGCAAGACTGATAGCTGACAGTTACGCACAGTTTACATACACGTCTCCTCTCCGCTCTTTTCCGCACCGCTTTGGTGGAAATAGCCTGCCAGCTGCGCCCCACATCTCTCGTCTAACACTGAGCTTAAAAAAGTTGTGGGTGTTTATCTAATCACCCTGTGTATACTAGCAACTTACCTCGACAATCTCGTCGTCGCTATAAATCGCCTCACCTCTCGTTGCGAGACCTATAGGTACTTCTTGTCTCACACCCTGTATATTGCGACTCACCTCGACAATCTCGTCGTCGCTATAGCTCGGTACAAATCTTCACTTGTGTTGATAGCCTCAACTCTCGCACACTGAATTCTTTCTACCTGTACGATCTATACTCGACTTTTTTACAGGCTATTACGATGTCGCGCACTACACTCCATTTTTTCGACCTATACGATCTACAATCGATATCTCACACCCTGTATATTACTCACCTCTTGACGACCTCGACTTCGCTATTAACTCGCTATAACTCTACTTGTGTTCATCACCCAATCTCTCGCTGCGTGACCTATATTCTTTTTTCACACCCTGTATATTGCGACTCACCTCGACAATCTCGTCGTCGCTGTGGTTGGCGGGCGGCGGGTGGTGGATGCCGAAGTTGGTCAGCGGGGGCGGCGAGCCGCGCGCGGGCGGGATGGGCGCTGCGGAGACATGGTGATGATTAATACGTGCACAAAAAAAAACATTAATAAACCATATAAGGGGCCATCATACATGTATAAATTTTACCTATTGTAGCATAAGATTAGCCTAGAGTTTAAACTGTCAAATAAATTATACAATAAGGAATTTATTTATTTATTTATTTATTTATCCATAAAGTACGTCACACGAATTTCATGATTTTTGACCCCCCTCCGTCCTTGTCACAGGTGGTCACATTTCTGAGACCCCCCCCTCCCTAGTGTGACGTCACATGTTTTGCAATTTCACATCGAAAAATTATTAAATTAACAGCAGTTCCGAAATTAGTTTTATTTCCATTTAAATTAAGTACTTTTTTTATGAAATCAACATTATATCAAATATTTGAAACAATTGAAATGTGATGTCACGAAACTTAGGACCCCTCTCACCCCTTGTCACACCATGTCACACTTTGTCGACCCCCTCCCCCCCTCTTTACGTGTGACGTACTTTATGGATGACCCCTTAGTATTCTTTTAATAGCATTTCAAAATTTTATTTCGCATTCAGGAAATGTAGTTTTAATAAGTTGGTCATATTTTCTCTTACTTATATTATGAATTACCGGAGTGTATGGGTAAATTAGTGATGAGGAAAAAACACGTTTAATCTATATTTTTAAGCGAAAGGTCACTGATTGACCGACTCAATCACTCATCACGAAATATCAGAAACTACAAGTGCTAGGAGTCTCAAATTTTTCATGGGTGTTCCTTTTAGAACGTAGGTGCTCACTAAGAACGGATTTTACGAAACTCCACCCCTAAGGGGGTAAAACGGGATCCACGCGTACGAAATCGCGGGCTTCCGGTAGTTCATAATAATTTTTGGGAAATTTTTAGCACTTTTTATTTCTATTAAAATATTTGATGTAACTAAATAATTGTTTTCCAGGTGAAGAATATTTCATTTTTATTTTATAAACGAACGTAAAACATACCTATTGTTATCATCTCATTAGTCAAAAACGTGTTCGCAAAAATCATACGAGTGTTCCAATTACTCCGTGACCCCCCATATCTCTCACGTTTTAAACCCCTTATCATGCTAGTGGGGCGATGAACTTGACGAATGTAGGTAACGATATCTTTACACTTAACTAAAACGTTTTTTTAAGTATCAATTGATTCCTAACGACTCTTATCTTCTAAGAAGTGGACGTATTAACTAGTGAAGTAACAAATGCCACTGGTCTCCAGACGTAGACGTAGCTGAATATGTTTCTACTTTCTGTGCTTCGGAAGATCTCTAAGATCGAACGAAGATCTAAGTCTACTGATGTCCAAGTCTAATTACTGGAAACCAATAACTACGGAATGTAAATTGTGTCCAAACTGGATATCGAACTCAGGAGCCTCGGATAGAGAGTCGGACTTTAACCACTAGACCACGATCCAGCGTTATGTATTTAAGCAATGAGTAGAGAGTATGAACAGTATGTGACCTTGACTTCAAAGGTTAATGACACTTTATTTATTTAAATGCAAAGTAGTACGAGACATTGTAAACAAGTTCGAGAAGGCGACAGAACTTTTTGAAAACATAACGTGCTGTCTCTTTTTAGCAAAAGGCATACACAGAGGTTGTAAGTAGGGTTGCCAAACGGTCGGGATTTGGTGGGAAGTGGGATTCTCCCGAATTTTTCTTCCGATAAAGTAAAAAATCTCCAAAAAAATTCATGATTACTTTAATAGGTAATTAATTTTTAGCTGGCAAGAGACGAAGGCATAGCCAAACCCATTTAAAAAAAGTTTATCGGTAGGCTGAAAACTACAAAATTGACACTGATAATATTAATAAAATCAGATTAAATAGCCAAAAGATGAGTCGTTGTGAATCTGAAAAGGTCAGAAGCGTGATTAGAAACAATCCATCGTCGATCGTTAACCTATTTAGTTAATTCTACCTCGCAAAGTCACGTGATTTATCTCTCTTATCTGTGATGTCATTGCTGTCACGTGATTTATCGACAATGTTTAATGCTATAAAACTAAACATTTTATTAGGGGCTGGGACTATTTTTGAGACGTTACAGAACTTTAAATTGAAATAAATTCTTAATTATGTACCTTTACAATATTCCTTGGGTTGTTGGTAGAGTCGACAGTACGTCTCAACTTCAAGCCAACTGCATAGAATGCCACAGGGTACAGGGTTTTAGTCTGGGCTGGGTTTTGTATGGATATTCTAATTTTAAGTCAATGTACAGTCGCGGAATGAAAAGGTTCGTCACCTTAGTGTCGGTTTTCCCTTGCACTAGGTACTGTAAGAGTCAAACCTGCCAACATAACAGTACAAGAAACAGTGCTGCTAACATTTAAATAAATATGACGTTTGCTAACGAATAAGGTTTTGCTTGTTTATTTTTCTATCCCATCAGTGCAATGCAATGATGACATTGACCAATTGACAACAGTTTTTTTTTATTTAAAAGAAATAATAATGGCAGGTTGAACCAACAAGAAGGTTTTAGTTTATCAATCATAATAATCTTCTTGACAAGATAAATCGTCAAACAACTTTGATCTGAATAATTTTGAAATTTACTGACGAACAGTTAAAGATTATTTTCTCTAACTCGAGATTATTCTGTAACATAGTTTCAAAAGGTAATATGTGCTCGCGATTCGTTGAAGGAATCAGTTTGAAAACTGACGAACCTTTTCATTCCGTGACTGTACCTACAGGACCTAGTACGAGTATTAATAAATAAATTCATCTTCGACCAGAAAGTAATAATTTTAAATATCCAATCCGCAGAACATCCTGTTGTCACACAGTTATAAATAAACTCTTGCAGATTTACCTTGTATTTTTGTTGGACGCTTCATTGGAAAACATATTAATGATTGATTTATTGATTGGTACTTTGAATGGTATTAAAATCTTCTGTATACTTTTCATATTTTACGTGGAATATTTTTTTTAGAAAATCCTTTTTGTTTTTAAATGGTATTATTTAGTTAGATTTAGTTTGTTATCATCTGATTTAAATTGCAATTATTAGAATTTAGGTGTCTTATTTTTAAATTAAATCCAAAGCCTAAAAAGTATGTACATTATGTCTTATGTGTGTACTAATAGTACGAGAGAGGACCGTAAGATACCCTACGTCACTTGATACTAAGATAAGCTCTATGGCACACGTTCAGAAAAGTTGTGCTAAGCTTGGAACAATTAATTAATAAATTCCGAACTAAGCTTATCTTATTATCAAGTGACGTAGGGTATATCTTACTGTCCCCTCTCGTACTATAATGCCTTAGTCAGAAAAATAAATGCATCAATGTACTGTTCTCTATTGAACTAGTTCTATCAGCACTGTAAATAGTCCTTTATCATAATGAGCTCCATACGCTTCACGGTCTGACGCCATCGCATAAAATGCTATCAATCCCATGTTATTTGCATTTCAGTCACGGACTGGTCTAGACTGAATCTAAACGTTAACAACGATGGAGTATGTTTGCCAGTTGTTTTATTTTAGCCCATTATTATGCTCATCTGTGAAGGTATTCAGTAACATGACAATATTTTTATGGTGTTGCTCATTTGGTAGCATCGTTTCTGAATGACCATAAGAATTAAGCGTAGAATTGTGTTGTGCTATTGTATTACAACGTTATTTCTCTTTGTTTCAGAGTCAAATCTGCCCTGTTCCAGTTTAAATTTGAGATGTTACTCAGACCAAAACTTTAATCCTTATGTCAAGACGACACTCAGCATTTAAGAAGCAAACGCGTCACAACATAAAAAGTGAAGTTTTCGAAGCTGTGACAAGGACAAGCCCGTCCTTGATGTTCTCGACAACCAACAATCTCTGCGCCCTAACCCTTTGTATATCGAAAAGCCCCTGTCGCTATTCCGCCAGAGATCCCAGGTTAAGACACTGGTCGAGAGAACTAAGTATTTCTTCCCCGTAGAAGAAACCTCAAATTGGGTTAAATCCCAAATTAAAGCCATCCCCGAGAGAGAAAGGCAAAAGTACGAGGCACCGTACTTAAAAGACCTCAGAAAGACTAATGGACTCTCCAAGAGCCCACGCCAATGGAGTCCCGGGTCATGAGAAGGCATTCAAGTATGAGCCAAAAGTACCGTCTGAAGAGGAGAAGACTACGTCACCGCTTTTCAACAACAAGACCAGTGAATTCAAATACATAGATTCGCAAGATGAAAAGAATGACGTGAGAGTAGCAGGTAAACCTGAAAATGATCTCAACACTGTCAATTCTATGAAAACGGACCCGGAAAATACTAAACAAGGCAACAGACTGTCCGTAACTTATCATAAGAATGATGAAGACGCGACGTCGACTAATGAGGGAGTGAAGTTCTTAGGGCTTGGTGATGCCGACAGTATCTGTTCGAGCAGGCCACCTCCTGAGCAGGCGCCTCAGATACCTGATGGAGGATGGGGATGGGTGGTTGTTGCCGCTTCATTCCTCATAGCCACCGTAGCTGATGGGCTTGCCTTCTCCTACGGTTTGATTCACGAAAAATTCATCTTATACTTCGGGAAGAGTGAAGCTGAAACCTCGTTAATTGGAAGTCTGTTTATATCAGTGCCTCTTATAGCAGGACCTATAATGAGCGCACTTGTAGATCGATACGGATGTAAGAACATGACTATACTTGGCGGAGTAGCGTCTACGATTGGATTCGTTGCTGCTTCGTACAGTAACTCTGTAGAAGTATTATGTGTGACGTATGGCCTAATGGCTGGTCTTGGCATGGGGCTTCTTTACGTAACCGCAGTAGTTTCGATTGCGTACTGGTTTGAGAAACGAAGAAACCTGGCTGTAGGGTTAGGGTCGTGTGGAGTTGGTTTCGGAACTTTTGTGTATTCTCCATTGACCACTTATCTTTTGGATGAGTATGGATGGAGAGGTGCGTTGTTGCTTCTTGCTGGCACTGTACTTAATGTTTGTGTGTGTGGTGCTGTTATGAGAGACCCAGAATGGTTGATTTTGGAGCAGAAAAAGCAAAGAAAGTTGAGTAAAACGAAGAGAGCCTCCAGTTCAGTGTCAATATCAGCGAAATCTGGAGGTGGAGAATCAGTATACCCTGGCATGGAGGAGCTGAAAACCTTAATGAAGAGTGGTGAAACACCCGAGTATATTTTGACAGCTTTAGTGGCTTCCATCGCGGAGGCTGAAGATTTAGAAACAGCTACAAAAATGAATGCTGATATGTCTCATAAAGTAAACTCTGTCATAAATCTACCCACCTTTTTAAGAAATAGTGAAAAGGTAATGCATCTCTTAAATAATGTAATCATTTATTACTTCTCGAACGCGCCAAATATAATAAAATTTTACTGTTTCAGGTTCCAGCGGAAGTGTTGGATCAGTTGACATCAAACAAGCGTCTCTACAATATAATATTGCAGAACTATCCTTCCCTTTTAGCTTTGAGAAGTAATTCGGAGCAGAAACTGCCGATTGAACCTGCCCCATCTAAAGGAAAGCAGATAACTATGTCTATGAAGTTAAAGTTGAGCAAGAAAGAAAAAGAGAAGAAGAAAGAGTTTGAGAATAAACTAGACGAAGTTAGAGAGAAGCTTCTGCAGCCAATTCCTGAGAATAAACCAGCTGTGATCACTCCGCGGACTGAACGGCAAGATTGGCTTTCAAGGCAGTTCCAGACGGATCGTCACTATTTGAGAGACATCAGGGTTCACAGGAACTCTATCATGCACAGGGGGGCGATGATGAACATCGCCAAATATAAACTGCGAGCTTCGTCGTGTCCTGATATTTATAGGAATTCTATGTGGTCTATGGAAGATCAAGAAGAAAAGGTATGAATGTTTTTAATTTCTTGAACACTTTAAAAGAACTTATCAGAGAAAATCAATATTCAGGTCTTATTTTAAATCTAAATATAGAGGTTATTGAAATTATTAGCAGAGATGTGATTATGATCAAGGTCAAACATAAAACAACAAACGCAAATTGCAATTCTGATAAAACGTTATCGGTTAATTAGGTAAAAATACAGGAAAGAGCACATCAAAATATTTTTTATTGCAAAGTAGCTTTTATAATAACTGCATAAGATGCCATTATGTTTCGTTTGATATGCTATCGTCTTTATTACCTCACATTAGAGCAAATACCGATAGTCGTAAATATTTTCGGAAATCACCCTATTTTAATGTTATTACTTGAATGAATATGAGCCATCCAGCAAATAGGTACTTATGAATGACAAGCTTTTGACTGAGGATTTGCCCTTGAATTTCTATTTATAAGTAGAAAGACTATCTTCTGTGACCAACCGAAATTCACTACCGCTACCCTTTTGAAAATCGGGATAAAAACTATCTCAAATACCTTTCATCTAAATTGGTCCAGGGTGAAAAGACAGACACTAGTCAATTTCGCATTAAAGTATTACGAGTTTACTGCTGTTGTGGCAACTAGGAATTACCAGGGAGTCTGATAATTCGTTTCTTCCAGACATGGGGCCGCCGTTTCCTCGACATGATCAACAAGACGTTCGACTTCAACATGTTCACGGAGTTCCACTTCCTGATGATGAACCTGTCCACCCTGGTGCTGTTCATCTGGTTCATCGTGCCTTACTTCTACATCGCTACCTTCATGACCATGAGTGGCTACTCCGAGTCTCACGGCGCTTGGATGCTGAGTGTGTTTGGAGTTGCTACCATCGTTGGAATTGTGAGTTAATTTTTATAAAGATTATTACTAATTTGATATTGTAATAATTACTTGCCCTTTGTACTAAGCTAAATATGCTGTATCACGAATGAGCTCACAACATTAGGCTGGTTTTAGAGTCGCGCTGACCGCACGCTGACGGTCGGCGCTGACAGTTCAATATGCATGTAATTGAAGGGAACGTTCCTGAGTGACGCCGACCGCTCGGCGCCGCCTCTTCATACATTTCGGCTGTCAACGCTGATGGTCAGCGTGCGTCAGCGTGATTCTAAAACCAGCCTTAGTCTAGCGGCGGCGGAAACCGAACCCTTGTTCCCCGGATCACGCACGAGTCGGCTAGTCCGACCCTTTCAACGTTCGGCTCCCGTAGTTTGAGTTGTTATTTTGGTATTTATAGACGGGGCTTTTAACACGTTCGATGTTGATAGATTGATTATAATAACCAGCTCTACGTGATATTATTTAGTCGATAGTAAAGTAACTACTCGGGCTAGTTCATGAAAGTGCACAGAACACGTGACGTTCTGTGTTCGTGGATTTATCAACAACAGTGTCGGCATCTCATACGGACACATTTATAGCGATGAGCCTATGTCATGTCTTTTTTTGTATAAAATCCAAATAATCTGCAATAGCTTGGTAGTGTCTGTCCTGTAGGAAATGCAGCTTCTACTGTCGTGTTTTTTAAAGGCTTTCTAGAGGCCAAGATGAATATTATCCATAAACATAACAATGTGTTACATCGAAACGATGATATTTTGTAAACTTAGACTGATTAGTCTAAACAATTGCCTTGTGCAGCTATTATGATCTTAGGTTTGCCTTAACTGCTTAGATTGTTATTAAATTGAAAGACAATAGGGTGTTGCGAATTTCCAATTACCGATACTACCTACATGATTGTCGTGAAATCATAATCATGGTTTACAATGGACCTGTACATGTATTATGTAACTTGTAACTATGGTAAACTAATGTCTTTTTAAACGCGATCAGGGGACATTTCTTGACAATAAGATCGTAAATTACTAGTATGTAGAGTCCCCATGGTACCTAGGTACTCACCAGTATTAAATGACAGTAGTATTAATATTATTGTTTAACCGATCTCTAATGTTTACATAACATTATTCAATCTAATTTCATGAAACCCCCTTAAAGATAAATAAACCTAGGTAACTGGTAAAATTCGCTATTTATCTTTGGGCCCACTGTTATTTAAAGTTCGTTCGTTCATTTCAAATGATGTCCACTGCTGGACAAAGACCTCCCCCAAGGATTTCCATAACGACCAGTCCTGCGCATCCAGGCTATTCCCGCGACCTACAGCAGATCGTCTGTCCAACTAGTGGGAGACCTGCACACGCTACGTCTCCTGCTCGGGGTCGCCACTCGAGAAATTTTCTGCCCCAGCGGCCATCAGCTCTATGAGCTATGCGCCTGGGCTATGTCACTTTGGTTCTCCAGCGGATTCCCTCATTTTTGATTCAATCACGCACGTCAGTAATTACATTTCTATTATTTTCAGGTCGGCCTTGGCTGGATGGGTGACCTGCCCTGGGTGAACGTGACCAAGACCTACGCTCTTTGCCTCATTGTCTGCGGAATCACAATCCTCATGTTCCCGATCCTCATCAACATCATGGACCCTGAAGCTCCGTACAGTTTCTACATTTTAGCCCTTAACGCTGTGATGTTTGGGCTCATGTTCTCGAGTTCGTACTCGTATACCCCGAGTATACTGGTGGAGCTGATCGCCTTGGAGAGATTCACGATGGCTTATGGACTGGTCCTGCTGAGTCAAGGAGTTGGGCATCTGATTGGACCGCCTATGGCTGGTGAGTGATGTTTTAAAATGGTGTTGATTGTAATCATTCAGCAAACACTGAAACCATTTACGGACGAAAGATAAACGCTATAGCTGTTTGTGGTTGAAATGAGTGCGATTTTACGACTAAAGTTTATTCTGATGTGCATTGTTCTCTGATGCTTTTGAATGCAATGTATGAATATGATAGTATGATGTAATTGTTTGAAATAAACAATGGAATTTATAATATTGTATAAAAATAAATAAACATAATGTTATTCTTATCGATCGTCGATCTAGCAGGCTATCTAGACCATAAACAATTTCTCACGGCTGAAAAACTTCACTGATGCTTTGTCAAATCCCAGTCAATAGTATGGAAACAAAAAGTGTCCATCATAACAAGTTATATGCTAATGCCCGTCGTAAAAAATGTCGTGAGATCGTAAAACGGGTCATAATCCTTTTAATACGCCTTGAACGAGCACTTCAAGCTTTATCGTTCAACGAGTGTTTACAAGCACCTGGTTAACTACTTGGTCTACCACGATCGATCATATTCGTAATTACCACAATGACATTATTATCCGGTGGAGTGGTCCGAAAAGGTGGACGGACGACCTCATAAAGGTAGCAGGAAGGCGCTGAGTTCAAGCGCAGGCCGCTACTAACCGGTTATTGTGGAAGTCATTGGGGGAGGCCTATGTTCAGCTGTGGACGTCCTATGACTGAAATGATGATGATGGTGGTTTTATTGGTCCGGTATTTATTGGCTCCTAGAAAGTTTGAAATTCATTTAGTAAGATTTGGCTGGAAAGAAAAATATATATTGGATTGAATAAAACCTCTACATCACTAACCTTCTTTTTTTTCAGGCGCACTCAGAGACTCTACTGGATACTGGGACGCGGCGTTCTACGTGTCCGGCATCTGGGTGATAATCTCTGGTCTCCTTGTGGGGGTTATTCCGTACACCAAGAACTTCAGGATTTGCGGCAACGCGCCGCTTGCGAAGGATGTTGCGGTGGACCCCGAGCCTGGAGTCAAGATTATCATTGCCCATTAGATATTAGAGAAGTAATGAAAGTCATTTTGGAGAATTTATTTTAATTCCTTAGATTGCAACCGATCTGGCTGCAAGACGACAAAATGGACTCTACAATATTTAGAACAGACTAAAGAAATAAGCAAATACTTAATCGATTTTACTGTTGCAAATTAAACGAGGGACCATAGTTATGGTGCTTAACCTGAACTATTTAAACTGGCTATCTATCTACTCATGTTGATATAAAAATAAAATGACATTTTAGAAACTATTTATGTGACTTTGATAAGGTGTTTCTTTTTAATTTGTACTTATATTAGAGTTGGAGGAGTAACAGGAATTTGCGTTTTCTGGTTGGTGTGTTTAGGTAGTTTTTGAAGATTTAATTTAATATAACTTCCTATTTTATAAGTATCCATGTATCTACAAAAAATCTGTAGTCGCTACGACAGTATGTTACGTGTTGCACATTACGAAGCAATTAAAAAAGTGAGAGATGTCACATGTAATTTATTTGATTCAATTATAAACTAAATTACAGATTTAAGTAAAGATCACATTGTGCCTAAATAGGATCTACGGAAAGACAAGTGTATTTAATCAGGCATCGGATTTTATAACTACCCTCAGTATAAATAAGTGGTTTGCTATTTGATAGAATAGTAACTTATTGGGATTAATTTAGTACTTATTTAATTATTTAATTTTAATTACTCTTACGGAGTTTATGTATTTTGTATTTTTGAGTGTAATTTAGTTAAAAAGTATAATCGTAGCATAAGATTAATTCATATTTAAAATTATTGTGGTTTCTAAGAAGGATTCGATTATGATTAAGTATTTCTTAGTAAGTAATGATATTTTCATAGACATTCATTAAAGACACGGTACAATTTTAAATGTTAATTCTTATTTTTAACTTGCCAATTGAGAACACCGATGAAAAGAATGAATTTATTTATTTACTTAAGTTAGGTACCCAAGTATTGTAAAACGTAAGTTTTAAAATCTACTTAATTACCTAGGTTAAGAAATTAGTCTTTAAAATTATATTTTATATCTACCTGCTTTTTGTATTTCATTCATTCATAAATATTAAAGTTTGCTATTCATATACTATTTTTATTTTTAATCTACCTACCTATAATTCCAATTTAGATATTTTGTTTCGTAGACAGAGAATAGGTACTACTAGTTTTCTCTGTCTACGTTTTGTTTAAGGTTCTCTATCTCTTATGATTAAAGAATAACACAAAATGCAATAAGCAAGTAACATGCCATAAATGTCTAAATTAGATTAAAATGTTGGTGAGAATAATAAAATTAAAATTGTACCTTAGCTTGAATTTCATATTTCGTCCACGGAACGAATGCAATTTTAAAACTAACAAACACGACGCCGACGTCGCCATGACCTAGGCGCAGACCACCGATTTAATTTGCCGATAGTTAGACCCGAAATTAATTTGTATGAAGAATCTACCGCTATCAAATCGGTGTAATCTGCGCACTTTCATACATGTCCATGCTGATTAACAGCCCGACTCAACTATCGGCCAACTAAAAGTCCGTGGTCTGCGCCTAGAAGTGCTGGCCGAATCCCTCGTCACGCTGGTTTGAACGACGTCATTCGCCGGGCGCTTGTCAGCGCTCGTATTCCGGCCATCCTTGAACCGAGCGGCCTGTCTCGAAGCGATGGGAAGCGTCCGGATGGAATGACGCTTGTTCCCTGGGAGATGGGGAGGCCTTTAGTGTGGGACGCCACTTGCGTTGACACTTTAGCGCCCTCCCATCTTCCTTCCTACTACCGGCGTCAAGGTGGGTTCGGCTGCTGCTTCTGCAGAGGACCTCAAGCGGCGCAAATATGTAAATCTCAATGAGACTTACATATTTGAGCCGTTTGGAGTTGAAACTCTGGGCCCGTGGGGACCAAGTGCCCACAAACTGTTTCGTAAGATATCTCAGCGCTTAGTTGAGACATCTTACGATACAAAGGCTGGCCTTTACCTTGGCCAACGCATCAGCCTTGCCATCCAGCGTGGCAATGTGGCCAGCCTTTTGGGCACCTTCCCCCAAGGTAGCGATTTAGATGAAATTTTTTATTTATAAAGCTTGTCTAAACATAATTTTAATTTTTACCCTTTTTTTTATTTAGTTATAGTTTAGTTTAGTAGTTATTTGTTACCATTTTGTTGTATATATGTATGTATAGATTATTGTTAGACTTAAATCTTACCTAAACTAATCTACCTAAGTCGTATTAAAAACTTCAGGCTTAAATTAATAATTTAATTCACCGACTCAAACAATTTGAAACTTTTTCATTTAAGCGGGAAATCGGCTATTGTCGGCAATCGTTAAAATAAATGACGTAATGTAATCACTTGACAGTTTAAAAAAAATAAAGTCAGACTTTCGATTTGACGATCGGTCAAATAATAGTTGTCATTTTGTGTTATGGAAATTCATTCTGTAAACAAACATTTTCGCCGAAAATTACAAATTAAATTATCAAAAACGTATAATAATTGATGCTTCAAAGCCAATTGTGAAAGGGCTTTCATAATTTATAGTGTAAATTTCATCACAAATGGCCGGCAATATGCAAAGGTAAGGAAGTAGTAATAAATCTTATTAAACGCACTATAAGACATTGTTTTCAGTCGTTTTGGACTAGCTGTAGGATTATTATTTGTTTGCTAGTTATAACCTGTAGGAATAAATGTTATCATTAACAGGCACATGCCTGTAGGCAGTAGAAAAAAAAGTTATTGTTATAATTTTTAATATCTCAACTTTTGTTGTTCATCAGGGTTGTGCATTTGGATCTCAAAGGAGCTCCACCCAAGATTGACTTCTTAGAAAAGGTATACCTTAAGAAATATTACTTTTACTAAAACTTAGTTATGACTCATACAGAAGAATATAGCTTAAGTCACAGTTTTAGCCCGGTATTTTTAAAACTGTTCTTTTCTTCAGGTATTGCTAGTTATAAAGTCATGTGGTGGTACGGGTGTGTTGATTGAATGGGAGGACACATTCCCCTACACGGGTGAGCTCGCAGATATTGGCAGTCACGGGAATAGTGGAGGAGACGGAGTCTATAAACCGGAAGAAGTGCAGCACATATTTAATTTCATCAAAGCAAATGGTTTATTACCTGTAAGTAAACATGATCCTAATTTGTATTCTTCAAAATAAATTAGTCTAAGGATTTTGGATCAAATAAAAATTTATTTCTTTCAAATAAGCAGGAAAACATACAGTTGATAGCCCATTAGACTATAAAAATTTGTTGCAAATGCCCTTATTTTGACTTTCAGGTCTACATACATATACATTTTTGTTGCTATTTTATTTTATTTAGGAATGTGAAAAACATTACCTACCTTATAAAACAATTTTTATCAAAGTAACTATAGTATGTATGTATGCCAATAACAGGTATACAAGATAATAAGATTCCCCGAGACCATTTTTTTATCAACAGATCAAGAGAAGTGGGGGTGGCTGAAAGCCAGCTCTGTTTAGGACAAGTAGTCCTGGGTAGCATAAGCTGAGCCACCTCCATTTGTTTCTACCTTTTTATTATAAATTTTCTTTTGTAAAGCAGTAACTTTATTACAAGTTTTGTAAATAAATAAATGATATTAAAAAATATATTAAAAAGATCAGTATTATAGCTTGATTTAGCCACCATCCTCTTTAGCTAGATAGCTAACTTAATAGAACAACAAAAACCGCTCCAGATTCAACTGATCCAAACCTTCAGCCACCTGGAGTTTGTGCTCAAACACCCCAAGTTTGCGAAGCTGCGGGAACTCCACGAGTCTCCGGCCTGCCTCTGCCCATGCAAGCCAGATTCCCTGCCGTTGGTGACCGCTATGGTTGAACAGGCCTTGAACGCTCAGCCGGACGCAGAATATGTACATATTGGGGCCGATGAGGTAAGGGTTTATGTTTACATTAGAGTTTCTTTTCTTGTATTAGTTGAAATAATTTGAAGTAACAATCCGACTATTTTAAATGATACCTGTACAACTATGTGACTGGCAAATGTCAATTCAAGCCAATCCATTCCAATTCATGTAAGGTGAAGGAATTGCTCACGCCCAAATCGCTTACCAAATGAATAGGTACCTACAAGATTAACTTGTCTTATTAACTAGTTCTTTTCATTTTACATGTATCTAGTTGTAGTTATGTTTGTACTAAATCCTACTTCCTACTTAATATTATAAATGCGAAAGTTTGGATGTCTGGATGTTTGTTACTCTTTCACGCAAAAACTACTGAACGGATTTTGATGAAATATTACAGTATTATTAGTAGTTTATAACTCAGAATAACATATAGGCTATAATTCTATATATGAAATTTATATGGGTGAAGCCGCGGGCAAAAGCTAGTAATAGATAAATATTCTTTCATTCTTTAAAAATCATAATGATTTCTTAATCTTATTACTTTGTGTACATAGTGAAACGCGCGATAGACTGGCAGACATATCATACCGGGCTGTAGTAAGTAACATAGTAATTTGTCTAACTCCAGATATGGCATCTCGGAGTGTGCCCAGACTGCCAGACCAGGATAGCAGGCGACGTCGACGGAACCGCTGTCCTATACCTGGACCACATCCAAGCTGTGGCCAACTACATACGGAGCATACGACCGAATATCACTATATTAATGTGGGATGACATGTTGCGTGGAATCAAGACGGATATTCTGTTGCGTAAGTAATCCCAACTTAATATTATAAATGCGAAAGTAACTCTGTCTGTCTGTCTGTCTGTCTGTCTGTTACGCTTTCCCGCTTAAACCTCGCAACCGATTTTGATGAAATTTGGCATAGAGATAGTTTGAGTCCCGGGAAAGAACATAGGATAGTTTTTATCCCGGTTTTTGAAACAGGGACGCGCGCGATAAAGTTTTTCTGTGACAGACAAAATTCCACGCGGGCGAAGCCGCGGGCGGAAAGCTAGTTTTATCTAATAAATCTGTTGGGTGTTTGGTTCCGGAAGAGTAGTAGTAGTTTTCTAATTCTACAAGTCCTATTTAAGACATAACAGAAGAGCAGTGTTATCCTAAAACAAGTTTTAGAAACTTAAAAGGATGAGACAACATTTGTGTTTTTGAAAATACACAAACATCGGGTTTCCCCAATTTGCTCAACCAGGGTGGGGAGGAGTGTCAACGATATTCTACATTAATTTGTTCCAAGCTAAGCAAAGCTTGAACAAAGTTGTAAAATTTCACAATTTTATGGCTACATTATTTAATTTTCAGAGAGAGTTAAGCAAGACTATATATAATGCTGTACGTTATAAAATCTATGCGGGCAGAAGTTTTTCAATGAGAGCCAAGGCACACGCACGATACGTTGCCTATCGTACGTTTTGCAGCGCGGCCAAGAACAGATATTTCTATGTAATGGCGCATATACTATTGAATCACATTGTCCGTCGCACTCGCAACGCATCGTGTGCTTTCAGATATTTCTATGTAAGACGACGCAGACCGCTCCGCCGCATTGCTTTAGCTCTAAAGGATGAATCAAATTTCGAGCGGTATTTGAACCTCACTCATACATTTCCAGGATACGACCTAGGCAGCAAGGTCCAGCCAGTAATCTGGGACTACAGCCCCAAGGAAGTGTTTCACATCGGCGCTTCCCGCTGGAATGTCTACAGCCAGTTGTTCCCGAGGGTGTGGGCCGCGTCGGCCTTCAAAGGCGCCAGTGGGGCTAACCAGGTGAGAATAATAAGTAGACGTAATGAAATCAAATCAAATCAAATATATTTATTTTGCGAACATGGGTATGAAACTTAGGTATTACAAGTATTTTAGTATCTCCATCTTCCACCTTTTGGCATGCAAAATTATAAATCAAACTTATCAAATTTCATTTACATAAAAAAGAATTTTCACTTAAATAATGTCAGATCAATCGCAGTCATATTATAATTGAATAAACATTCTACGTAAACGTAGACTAAATACTTGTAAGATGTACTGAGATACTATCTAGATATGGACAAAATACTGGTTAGATGTAAGTACTAGAATAGGTAAAGGGAATATGAAATGTTTTTTGTTTTTCACATTTCACATTTCAGTAGCCCAAGGCTACAACTTTTTTTTTAAGTGATTACCGTCGCCTATAGACACCCGCAGACCCAGGGGCGTTACAGGTGGCGTTACGTTGCCGGCCTTTAAGGTGAAGATACGCCCTCTTGTTGAAAGCTAAATTATTTAATTTTAGTGCTTTTCTGTCTCAAAAAACTCCAAAAATTCGCTAGATATAGAGATTACCAATCTCGTGACGTCACTCGACACGTTAGAACAACACGCAGAATCCCAATGAGTTACTATGGGCGCGTGTCATATGATGTCACATTCAGCTATTTCTATGCAAAGTTGAAACGCTTGTATTTTTTTAGTCCAATTTTGTACCAATTTGAATACAAAAAAAAAAAACTATATCGAATCAGAGAGGACATTCTATCCTCCTGAATTCGAAAACCTAGTTTATCATTAACAGGACACAGAAAAATGAAATTATATTAATTTATCTTATCTTTCATATCTTTCTACCATTATGTTTGATGGTAATATTTATGTTTTGTTGTCAGATATTGGCCTCCACGTACCGCTATGTGAGCAGCAACGAAGCGTGGCTCAGCGAGATCAAACACAACGCTTCAAGCACCGTGTTCGCTGGCATCATACTCACTGGCTGGTCTAGGTAATCTATACTAATATTATAAATGCGAAAGTAACTCTGTCTGTCTGTCTGTCTATCTGTCTCTCTGTCTCGCTTTCACGCCTGAACCACTGAACTGATTTTGATGAAATTTGCCATAGAGATAGCTTGAGTCCCGGGAAAGGACATAGGATAGTTTTTAACCCGGTTTTTTTAAACAGGTACGCGCGCGATAAAGTTACACTATAAATAAATAAAATAGATAAATAGTTCAAAATCCTCAGGGGAGGCTTATATTCAGTAGTGAACTTAATTTAAGCTGAAACGAACACGATAAAGTTCATAGCAGACTTATCAACTCGGAAAGGGATCAACACCGTACCGCCTTTCGCGCTCTGTCAATGAGGGCTATCGTTTTTATACTTAACAGTTGGCACCCCTGGCGATTGACAGGACCTTACTCTACAGTGGCGCCATCTTGATGAGTGCAAATGCGATAGTCCTCCTACCACTTTCGTGCTCACCAGTTGGTGCCACTGTCTTCGCTAGCAAGTGACAGGACCTTACTCTACAGTGGCGCTAACTGGTGAGCGCTAAAACGATAGCCCTCATTTCCGCTTTGCAGTTTGGAGTTTATATTGCTCTCATCATCTCAGCCATAGGACGTCCACTGCTGAACAACCTCACCCAATGCTTTCCATGTTCCCCGGTTGGTAGCGGCCTGCGTCCAGCGCCTTCCTGCTACTTTTATGATGTCGTCGGTCCACCTTGTGGGTGGACGTCCCACGCTGCGTTTTCCGGTACGTGGCCTCCACTCCAGAACCTTGCTGCCCCATCGGCCGTCAGTTCTGTGTACTATGTGCCCTGCCCAATTGCCACTTGGTTGGTGTGCTCTCGTCTCTACGATAAAAGTGTATGACTGACTATGAGCCTTCATTTGTAAAACACCAATAATATTAATGACTTTTTATTTATTAGGTATGACCACTACGCCACGCTATGCGAACTGCTGCCGGTAGCAATGCCGAGTCTGGTCAGCTGTCTCAGTTTGCTGACCAAACCTGAAGATGTGCCTATTGGTAAGTTGTTTATTGTCATTTATAATAAACTAGCTTTTGCCCGCGGCTTCGTCATACATTATAGCCTATATGTTATTCTAGGTTATAAACAATAATACTGCAAAATTTCATCAAAATCCGGTCAGTAGTTTTTGCGTGAAAGTGTAACAAACATCCATCCAGACATCCAAACTTTCGCATTTATAATATTAGTAGGATGATCACTATCTCCCATGATGCCAGAATTTCCCAGAATGCTCAAGAAAATATTCTTCTTTTCTTTTCTAACGTTTCTACTTTAAACGAAATCATGTATTATTCATTTAATTATATCAATTTTCCACTTTCAGTTGACCAAAAAAGACTGTAATTTCATCGTTTCAAGGGTCAAGCACCATTTTGTTGACAAACGTGATCGGCACTGCGCCGAAGCCATAGGGCTGACTTCGGTAAAATGATGTGTGACGTGAGGTGCCAAACTGCAGAAAATGGCGGAGGAAATACATGATTAAGCATGAATTATCATGAATAATATTAACCACTTTACCTCTCAGTGTCTTGAGGCAACTTAAAAAAGTACATTCTGTCTTTTTATTATTATGTAGGCAGTTAAATACTGCACAGTATTTAGTACACCATTTTCTTTATTTTTTTCCATCATACACAAGAATACGCGTGCGTGAGTCAATGCTCGCTCGTATGTGAGGCCTTGTCGAATAGTAACCCTGTAGGGTGCCATTGTGCTTGTTTTCGATGTAAAATCGCGGAGGTGAACAGGCCTGATATAACATTATTATATTTTACAGAAACTATAATGTACGAGACCCTACCCCCTTCGTCTTGGCCAGGCATGCAGTTTGCGACTACCCTCCACAAGTTTGCTGTTCTGAAGGAACATGCCAACCAGTTTCTGAATGGAGAGGTGTAAGTTAACACGGGTAGGTACGTATTACGAAACTACGCTTCAAACTCGATTTGATTTCAATTTTAGATTCTGATATTGAAATTAAGCCTATAAATAGCAATGTATAGTTGAAATTGAATCGAGTTTTAGCTTCGTTCTGTTATACGCACCTTAGTTTTAGGTTGTATTTTTAAATGATGCTTACAACTCGATTGAAACTTCAGCGTAGATTAGTCTTAATCAAGTACTTACTGAGATATGTTTTACTCAGAGACATTGAGACACATAGCAACACCTGATGTAGTAGCTTGCGAGTGAAACAGATGTTTCGCGAGGTCCGCGGAGGTTATAAATAAATAAATAAATAAATAAATATCCTTAGACATTTTACACTGCGCTTCTAGTCCCAAACTAAGCAAAGCTTGTACTATGGGTACTAGACAACGGATATAAACATACTTAACCTCCTGGNGCGCTCAAAGGGTGATTTATTTTTTATTTTTTTCGAAACATTCTTTGTCGTTTTACTCAAAAACTAGCCTAAATTTTTTTTTAAAAACACTTGGGTTGTATTTGTATGATTTTATTAGATGCGTTGGTAAAGTATGATCAGTACAAAAAATAACACCTTATATATGACATTGAGAAAATTGCCGTTTTCCAGATAAAATTTTTTATTTTATTTTTTAAGATAATTATATCAATTATTAATACTATTTGGATAGTTTTCATATGAATTCACGATAAAAATTATTCCCGGGCCCCAGGAGGTTAAATACTTTTTTTTTGTAAATACATACATATTGAAATATTGAAATTAAACATACCAAAAGCTATGTATGGTTGAAATTGAATCGAGTTTGTAGCTTCGTTCTGTTATACGCACCTTAGTGTGTTTTAATTTGTATTTTGCAATGTATAGATTTAATACATGATATGATCAAAAACGCCTATATTAGCGCCACTAAAGAAATAACACTGATGTTAAATAAGACCGATAAAACGTTGTCATTAGTACACGCTGTGATACAATTTTATTCTGATTCTATTGAATTGAAATACTCATAATAAACCGAAAAAAAAACTTATGTCACCTTGGTAGAAATATGCACATTAACCCCACAGATGAAGGACTCATAATGGATATAATAATATGTAGGTAATATATTTATTATTGTTTCAGTGTGGGATCGTGGTTTAACCCTTGGCAGATTGAGAACAGCTATACCAATCCTTATAAAGTGGTACGCATCGCATCGGCAGCAAGGCAGTAAGTAGTTATTCCAATATCCATTACAAAAAAAAAAAAACTGCAGCTCTTTCGTTCAATTGGCAATGGCATACTGTCTAAAATGGTGGACACCACTGTTCAATGAGGGCTATTGTTTAATCAGTTAGTAGCACTAATAGTACGATCGTGTCACTTGCTAAAGCCTGGTCCGTGAGCACGTAGAATCCCGTCCAATGACCCCAAGCTACCCATCCCTATCGCTCGCGCGTAATTATGTTGCTGTCGCGCTCGCACACTCACTGCGGGCGCCCGTCGCACAGTCGCGACAGCAATATAATTACCTACGCGCGAGCGATAGGGATGGGTAGCGTGTGGTCATTGGACGGGATTCTACGTGCTCACGGACCAGAGCCCCGATTACGTTGGCACGTTACGTTTACGTTACGTTAATAAAGCGTTGATTAGCGGTGAGTTGCCCCGAATTTTGTCAGTGTGTGCGTGCGCGCCGCATACGTATTGGCGCGCTCACATACAAACCGCGCTCGGTGCGTTTCTATGAAGATGAACTACTCATTTGTATTTACTCTGTATGTAGTTGCCTATGATATTTGCTATTCGCAAATAACTTATATTCCTTGATATTTACACATGATATCATTTATAATTTCAGGTTCATGACAGAACTAGCCGCTCTTCAATCAGACCTAGCCCTTGGCATCAGTACCATAACCGGCCAACGAAGTTCCGAAGAGTGGATGAAGACATACGTGTGCCCCATCATGACCAGGATATCGGATCTCGTGAAGGCAGCCGAAGCCAGAAGCAATTCCGAACCGAGCGTCAGTCCGTCGAATAATTTGTACTTGTGGAATAATAACGTGCAGTGAACTGATGGTTTGTAAGTAAGGGTCTACTTATCATAATTTAATGAGGGCTATCGTTAAACAGTGGCAATAATGAGGGCTATCGTATTAGCGCTCACCAGTTGGCGCCACTGTAGAGTAAGGTCCTGTCACTTGCTAGTAGCGAAGACAGTGGCGCCAACTGGTGAGCGCGAAAGTTGTAGGAGGACTATCGCATTTGCACCCATCAAGATGGCGCCACTGTAGAGTAAGGTCCTGTCAATCGCCAGGGGTGCCAACTGTTGAGTATAAAAACGATAGCCCTCATTAGTGAGCGCTGAAGCGGTAGGAGGACTATCGCATTTGAACTCACCAGGATGGCGCCACTGTAGAGTAGGCTCATGTCAATCGACAGTAGTGCCAACTGTTCAGTATAAAAATCCATTATAGCGCTGTCATCGGCCAGCGAAGTTCCGAAGAGTGAATGAAGACATACGTGAGCCCCATCATGATCAGGATATCTGATCTTGTGAAGGCAGAATCTATAAGCAATTTTGAACCGAGCGTCAGTCCGTCGAACAATTTGTACTTGTGCAATAATAACGTGCAGTGAACTGAGGGTCAAACTGGTCGCGTCATGTGTGGTCTCTCAACGGAATCTATGGCAGAAACTTGGATGCAACTCAAAAGTAACGAGAAGTTGCAGTTTCGTTGCAATTGCGTTTCACCGTGTGTTCTGGGCCTTAGTGTGAGCTTACATCAAATGTCACTAGCGAGCGCGTTAAAAAAATATATGAAAATTTTAGTTCTTGGAAGTTCCCGCTAGGGGCGCTGTACAATCCGTCATACATTTAATGTCACTTTTTTACGCAGTCTAACATCGTATGCATTTGTCGTAAACTCACACTATAGATGACCCACGCTGAACTGTCCCACCAAACTCAATGACAGGGGGGCGCTACCATCGTTCAACTATATGGTTTCCAACATGGCCAAAATCGGAAGCAGCGATACGGTATTGACGGTGGCGCCCCACTGTCAATGTCATGGATAGGACAGTTCAGTACCTCTAGTAGGAAAAACTTTCGAGTTCGTTTCGTTGCGTATTCAAAGTGTCATCGAAAAATTTTGTATGAAAAATTAAACAGCGCCCCCTATATTATAGCCGCCCTAGGGGGCGCTGTTTAATTTTTCATACAAAATTTTTCGATGACACTTTGAATACGCAACGAAACGAACTCGAAAGTTTTTCCTACTAGAGGTACAGTATTTTGGAACTATACGCCCTCTGATCATTTGTGACTGGTACAAACGGCCACACTGTTAACTATCCATTTCCATTATTGCTCTCGCTTTTATCAAATGGTGATTCTTTGCGAGAGAACGAAATGACATGACTGGCAATGGGCAGTTAACACTGTTGCCGATAGTACATATTAAAATTTATTGGTAGATAAAAAGTATAATTCAAAAAAAGCTTTATTATTCCTAGTACATTTCATTCACCATTGTTTTTATATTTATTTATTTAATTTAGAGTTCTTTTTTGTTATTATTTATTTAGTTAAAAAGCAGTTGTCAAATTATGGGAAAGACTGATGGTTTTTGGCTATTATGTAGAGTGTGAGGAAGAGAGAAGGAATGAAAAAGATGCAAAAAAGGGTCTGATAATAGCGTCTTTCTTCTTATAGACAATAAGAATATGTAAAAAATATGATTGTATCATTGTGTTGATAAAATAAAATGTAAGCTGAATTTGTTTTGAAGCTGAAATTGTGTTGATAAAAAAAAGGAGTTCTTTAACTAAACGGATCGTCAAATATAGCGTAGTCGAGCAAAAACCACAAAGAAAAGTCGTTCTTATCTATTACATACTTTAGTTTCTTTTAAGACTTGTCCGTGCCTCTATTTTCTGATTTTATATCAATTCAGGTTTATTGGTTAAATATTTTTAGAATTTCTGAACGATACTGGAAATATTCCTGACCTGGGGAACGAGATGGTATGTTTTTTATTACGACCAAAGTTATGTATACAGAAGTTGTTAGTTTCTATATGTGAAATTTATTTATTGTTCCTTCTGTTACGAATAATCGTTGCATTTATATTTAAGTTCATGTTTGTTGTTGTATCTATGTAACGTTTATGTTGAGAAATAAAGTAAATATTTGGATTTCTTGTTTTATTTTAGTGGCAAAACTAGATATTTCAAAATTGATGTTAATAGTCGACTGCCCGAATCGTGATTAAGTGAGAAAGAAAGCTATTTACACAGAGTAGCTAGAAATTGAAATTAATACGTCAAGAGTTTTAATTAAATATCTGTTAAACGCAATATCGAATAGAAAGAAAGAGATAACGAAGTAAGGTGACACTAAGGCTGGGTTGCACCATCCTACTTTAACTTTGAAAAACGTCAAAAATCTGTCAAACTCCATACAAAAAGCACCGGTTATCGTCTAAGTTACGGTCAAAGTTAGGTGGTGCAACTGAGCCTATAAAGTACCTGTCACAACTCAAGTAAGTAACATACGAATGAATCGATACTCATTTGTTGTTAATAACCTTAAGAGTACGCGCGCACCGTTGATTTTTCGTCGGCCGATAGTTTAGTCGGGCAGTTGATCAGTATGGGCATGTATGGAAGTGCGCACACTACGCCGATTCGATTTGGCCGATTCTTCATACAATTTAAAATCGGGCACAACTAGCGGCCAACTAAAAATCAACGGTGTTCGCCTACTCTAAGCCTAATATCGTCAGTTGCAGGTTCACTTGGGGTAACTGACAAAATACAGTTTTTCAGTAGAGCCGTTTAAAGTTTTTTTTCGTCTTAAATCGGACATAACTTTTTTCCTATTTAACCTTTTTTGGATCTGTTTTTACAGAAATGCTTAGAATTCTACGCGGTTTTAGATTAAATAAAAAGAATTATCTAATATGTCTTAGTTAAGGAAATAAATTGCAGTTACACCAATGTATTTTTGTACTTTTGACAGTTACACTAATTTTACACCAAACTTTTGGAAAAAACATAGGTAAAATTGGTGTAAGTACTGCCCAAAGTTAAAATAATTTGATATATTTTCTGATTTTGCTGGGTTTTGTTTACTTAGTTGCTGTATAATTTATGTAAAAGTATTAAAAAATAAGATAATTCATGAAAAAAATAACATTTTGTCGTTTTCTTTATTTTTTTTTATTTTATTAGAAGTGACTTTTATTTTATTCATTAAAAAATGTTAAAAAAGCCACGAAAATCAAGAAAATATATGTATTTAATTTTTTTAAGACAGAAATATTGAAATAACTAAAGTATTACTGTGAAACTAAGTAATTTGAATATTTTTTTAAGCTTTGACTTACCGTATTTAGCTCTACGGGGCAACTTAAACTGAAAACAAAAATGGATTTAATTTCCCACCTCTTTATAGCAATGTTGAATTAAGGTCATGAGTACTACAACAGTAAAAGTAACAAATTACAACAGGATAATGTTAGCAACGCGTAGTGACGACTAGTTGGCTGGATAGTTTGCTCAATTTATTTTTTTTTTGTTGAGCTAACTTTGACTTCTTTAACTGATACTGCTGGTATAATAATAATGTAATATGCCTTAAAACTTTCTAAATTCCTATTTTATTTCATATTATAAACCTTAGCAAATCAGTGTATTTGCAAAGTTTTGTAGCAAAATTTTTACATTATTACAGATACACCAATTCAACCTTGTAAAATTATTACAATGTCAGTTACACCAAAATTGTGAAGGAAATCTGAAAAGTTCACACCTGAAAATGTCCGTGTAATCGTATTTTTTTTAAAGCTAGAATTTGTGTAATAACAAGACGTCGATCCTAGAGTGAGAGACTGACTTCGAAAAATCGAAGTACACACCTAGCAGATGCTCCCACAATTTATATCAGTTTCAGTGGGTAATTAGGGGCCCACTCGCGCCCCTCCGCGATGCAATAAATCAAAATACATTAAAACGGGATCTGCAATAATCCCCAATAAATCAGGGGTCTGAAAACGTCTGAAGTTCACGATACGAGTCTTACTTGTAGTAATTATCTTCGAGTTACTTTTAAGACGGGGCTTGACTCGATGTAGCTACACGTTGTTGGTGTGTTCCAAAAATATTCATTAGGTACCTACTCCTAAGTATTACCACAGATAATATTATTACAAATAAATATTAAATAAGTCTAGTATTTGGAATTATTCGACGCGCGAAATAACGTCCCTGAAAGCACTATAGGATTTGGGATTAGTGCTTTTAGGCACGCTTTTATTGTATAAGCTTAAACAAACACTACTTACTTACATCCAAGTTTGGACTTGACCCTATTGGACGTGAATTGAATTTGACATTAGAGACAGAAGCAATAATTAATTATTAAAAATCCCAATAAATGCGAATAATCCCGCCTCTGTTAGTACAAAGCGCTAATCGGGGATGTTATAATAGTTACATCATCAGTATTCTGTACTTGGTGTACATAACACAAAATATTTGTAATCATCATTTCAGCCACAGGACGTCCGAAGCTCCGAAGAATATAGGCCTCCTCAATGATTTCCGCAATGACCCGTTTGGTAGCAGCTTGCTTTCAGCGTCTTCCTGCTACCTTTACGACTAGGTACCTACTTTGATTCGAACTCTCAACATAATCTACTGTACTATCGCTTAACACATTAATCCGGACGCCTATTACCTTCCTCTTATTACCATTGCTGCAATTCTTTTGCAGTAGTCAGGATCTACAGCTTGACTGCCCAAAAAACACAGAGCGAGTTAGAAAAAACACGTGGACCAAATAAAAACTGCTCAAGCCCAAAGCGCCCAGCGACCCATATTAGCCGATAGGGTCGTTCTACTAAACAATAGTACCTTTATAATGATAAAGCAGACGATACACACAAATCACGGCAGGTAGAGATAATAAATCATGGTCTCTATATTTGAAATATTTAAATACGCTCTATTTATACTAGTTTTAAGACCATTATGTTTACCCAAAATTGTGGCAAACAAAATAAATACAGATCGACAGAGAATTAAATTCTGACTAAAACTGTATAAAACTCATTTTCAGCAAGATGTCCTTTGCGCCCTTTGAGCCCAGAGGTATCGATAATATTATGTCGGTCGTCTGTGTAAATAGTTGTAGAGACTGCTTTTACAGCATAAGTAATAACTACATTTACGCGCGCGTCCCTGTTTCAAAAACCGGGATAAAAACTATCTTATGTCCTTTCCCGGGACTCAAACTACCTGTATGCCAAATTCCATCAAAATTGGTTCATTGGTTTAAGCGTGAAAGCAAGACAGACAGAGTTACTTTCGCATTTATAATATTAGTATAGAAGTATAGACTAGTATAGATAGTATAGAAGTATAGATTAGCAGTGGACTTATCCCATTAATTATTTACCCCACTTAGGAAATACCGCAATGTTTATATGGGTTAGGTACTAAGCTATCTTCGCCTGTTTTAGTTAAATGGAATGAAAACAACCCATCCCTGAAACTAGATTGGGAACGTATTATAGTAACTCTACTTAAGTACCTAGATAACTAATACTGTAATTCGTGGCATCTATTTTCTTTAGATTAAGATTAGAAAACGTTAATTTAGTTCATCATAGTCTGTATTTTTTGCTTTTAATTTCTACTTCAATCAAAAAATAATATAATGAGTATAAAAATAATTACAATTAAAGCTGAAAAGCTCTATCCTTCAATGGATAGCTTTCGTAGTAGCTGTTGCAACACAAAGTTTTATAGGTATGTTATTCCAAAAATGCATGTTTTATTTAGTTTTCTTTAAATTCTACATACATGTAAATAATGGAATACTTATTCATTGCTTCTATTCAGCACGCATTTATAAATATTGTACATTATAATTCGGGCATTAGGTTTAGTTTTAATATCGTTTCGTTTCTTTTTGACTTCCCCGTGGTATATTTACTTTTGATTACGACTCTGATATCGTTCAAATAAAACTTGGCAAGTTTATTTAGAGATTCGCCCAAGGTCGTTACGTGTATTTAGTGATACGATGTCTTTTTAGTTTTATACGCAGGGCTTTATATTATTTTTGTAACTGAATAGAAAAAATTTGGAAACAAGATACTGTGCCCTTCGTCTTAATCATTAATTTTCAGCTACTTAATGGCAATTCCATTTTCGGCGGAACCTTTCCAAAGTAACTTTACAAAGCACGATTAAGAGCTTACAAAAAGCTCTTAATCGTGCTTTGTAGAGGCTGCAGCAAGCTATCTTGTGATCGTCATTATTTTTAATGTCGTGGTACTTGTGGGCCCGTTGGGAATCAAAGTACCTATGAACTTACATTTTTTTAAAACAATAGAGCTGTGGATAAAAGATCCAAAGGGGAATAAACCTGTCAACGGTCAATGGGTATCCTTCGATACCTTTGCCGGAGTGATGAGAGAGATTAAAACTGTTACTACTGCTAGAAGTAGGAATTTTATTAAAAATACGTTTTGGTTAGTGATCTGAATTACACTGTGGCTGAAAAATTTCTACGTCACTTGGAGGTGTGTACTTTTTTGTATTAACGTGGGATGTGAATTATTACAGTGTTGCTAGAGTTAGTTAATAAAATTTAACAACAATTAAATCAGCTTATCACAAACGGTACCCAAAAGTATCTTATTTTGAAACAAAAAATATTAAACCAGTTATAAAAAATAGTTCTATGTTTTATGACAGTAAAAAGAATTTAAGATTGCTTAGACACTTGTATAGCAATTATGAAAAAGTTTCTGGTGCTAATTTTTCTTGAAAAGTAAGCGGAGATTTGGAGAAAAGAAAGCTCTATATTCTATATTGTTTAAAATGAGTATTGATGAGAATACTAGATAGTACTAAATTATTACTAAACATCCTAAATACATTATTTAATTTATGTTCAACTTTATTAATTGTCCGAATACTACGTTACTCACATCACATAATAAGTTTTACATCACATAATACGACTCTCTCAAAACCACTGATAAAGTACACAATTGGTAAGTTTATCAATACCGGTCACGACCACGTGCGTAGGCGACAGTTCTAGCGCCGCGGTTCCGTGTCAAACTCAGTTCAGTTGATCTGCGCGCACGCCGGTGACTGACGTGCGTACAAAATGGCCGCCAGAACACAGTGTCTACTCCGTAGGGCCTACAGCTCGGCTGCCGACAAACATGTGGCCTTCCTTGGCCTTGGCAACATGGGGGGATTCATGGCAGCCAACTTGGCTAAACAGGTACGTAGATTCATAAAGCGCAATGAGGAATTTAGAAGGACGCATGCCAGTAATGCATTTAAAGTTTGTTCAACTTTAGAAACTCCTTGGTGAACTTAAATGTAAAGGGGTTTTGTGTGGAAGTTTTGATAAGATAATTTTATAATAAGAACTGATTTCAGTGAACATTATAAGGGATAATATTAATATTACAAATTGGACTTATTCGGAATAAATAAATAAGTATAGGTAATAGGCGAGTAACTCTATGTAGTAGGGAACTATTGATAAGAGTGCCTTGTTTTAACATATAAATGATTATTTATCCATGAAAAATATATCTTTCCGACGCAATATCAAACATTGGGATACGGTTAAAAATAACTTTGAACGTCTGTATTATACGCAAAATCTTTTCCGCATAACAGAGGCCGGTTTATAAAGTGAATATCTTGTTGTACAATATGTAAATAATACTTGCATTCATTAGTTCTATGCAATATGTAAATTTAAGTTTATCGAGACCTTAAAAAAGACTGTAGATTCTACACCAAGTTCGTAGGTCTATACAGGTCTACACTCTACCCAGGTACCTAAATTTGGTAACACGTGAATCGTAGATAATATGATGAGTTGATTGAATCAATTGAACTAAATTGTTGAGAGCCTCTAACCAGCTCAATAGTAAACTCTTTAAATAATATTTATGTATTTCAAGAATTTTTCATTGATAATCTGATAATTCATATAATATTCGGTTAGTATGTAATCGAGTTTACAGCTTTAGAATGTATTTATTTATTTGTTTGCAGTTCATATTCCTAAAATATTTTATAAATAGCTTAAACAATAGGCAGTCTTTGAGTATCTCCATTTTAAATTTTATAACTGCGAATTTTTAAAAATATAAATAAATATATTTCAGTTTTCAAGGGCTTAAGTCCTATTAGTTTCTGAAACACTATTATAATTTAACTGAAAACAACACTGTTTGTAGAAGGTAATATTATTATACAACTAATACTATCGAATATTTACTGAATAATGCGACTCTACCAAGGCCGAAGCCTAACATTTGTTTTAGATAACAAAGGCCTATCTACACCTAAGTAGGGGAAAGTAGTACGAGTTGATCCCCTGGGGTAAGATGATCTTTCGCGATTGTGCTGAAACCACTAACGTCATTTAGTTTCTTTCACTGGTAAAACATAGCTCTGGACACATCCCAGCCTCAGTCAAATCGTAATGGTGGCGTGAGCGATACATCGGATTTGACGAGAAAAAAGAAAAATTGTGTACTTCTGATCTAAAATAGGCATGACTTTGAGCTTATGTTACTTTTATTCAAACAATGTTAAATGTAATTACTGTTGTCGTTAGGATTTCTATTATGTTTAATTTTAATATTTTGGCCATAAAAACGTGGCCGCGTACTTGTAGATTATTTTAGCAAATATTTAACAAAAAGTGGGACTTGGGTCAAGATGATCCCTTCCTATATGTACGAGATGATCCCTGGGAATTAAAACAAAAAAGTCAATGGAGTAGGTAAAGGGAAGTGAAATAAAAGAAAGAGAACTTCATATAACTCACCTGAGTCTGAAGGAGATGATACTGAGTGGCTGTACTGAACAGAAAAGTTTTCATGCGATACCAAGGGTGAAGGATGGATAAAATGTTATGCATGTGGAAAATGGGGCCATAAAGCATGTGCTGGGGTAGAGGGTGATGAAGCAGGTGAATTTATTTGTGATATATTCAACACAGCTCCAGCCAAAAAGCGTTTCAATTATTTAAACGCTTTTTAGCAGGTACTAAGAAAGAATCAGTTATTTTCGTTATTTAATTCGTAAATGTTTTTCTTTTCTAACTTTTTAACGATTTGTTCACATAATTAGGTACTCCGAAAGGAATATAACCAGAAAAGAATAGATCATAGAACAGAATCATAGGGATCATCTTACCCCTACCTGGGGGATCATCTTACCCACAGGGGTGTACAAGATGATCACTTTGTAAGGTTTTGCAAAAAATGAAATATTTTAATGAAACCTTAATTAATTTCTGGGTTTGAGTATAAGGAAAGTTGGATAGATAAATATACTAGTAGTAATCGTCTTTATTTTTGGTTTACCTTGAAAAACACGTATTTTACAGCGATTCCCGCTTAAGGGGATCATCTCGTACTACTTTCCCCTATGTAGTTTAATAACGTGTATTTGTGTCTTTATTAGTTTCTAACAAAACGAATCCTGAAGTAAAACATTATTAAAGTTAAAGATGAAATATTAACTTTAAATCAAATGAAGACCAAGATTTAGCAGATCTTAGCACATAAAAACATCAAAAAGAAAGAACTTAAGGCATTCAATTAAATATTGGTTTAAACTTTCAACAATAGCATAGTTATTTACGGGATTGCTACCATGATTCTTTTTATTTACGAGCTTTCTATATTTCGAAACTGTTGCTAGCGCCATAATCACGGAGTAACTGAAGATTGAAGATCTAGCGAGTGCGATCAGAGGCTCGTAAATAAAAAGGTACATGGTAGCAAAAGCCAGTAGATAACCATTCTAATGAAACATCTATAGGTACTTATAATAAATCTGTAGAGAGGTCAATTCTGTACATGAAATATATTTTCAAAATAACTATCAGGGGGTGATTAGTGATCGATACTGATGCCAAAAATGCAATCAGTAAAATTTTTGTCTGTCTGTCTGTATGTTACTTATAGAAACAAAAACTACTCGACGGATTTTAACGAAACTTGGTACAATTATTCTTCATACACCTGGGCAGGGTATAGTATACTTAGGAATTCCCACGGGAACGGGAATTAGCGGGAAAATCCTTTTGTATGAAAAATGTAAACCGCTTAAGTTAGACGCTTGAAATTTGGCATGCAGGTACCTTGGTAAACTTAAAGCTTAGTTACAACAGAATATTGCAAAATTCCCACGGGAACGGGAGTTAGCGGGAAAAAACATTGTATGAAAAAATCTAAACCGCGTAAGATAGATGAAAGGGGTAAAACGGGATCCAGGCGTACGAAGTCGCAGGCGGCCGCTAGTTTATAATAATATCACAGATAATATAATATGCACAAAAATAATGATAGTTAGCCCTTTGACTTGAAAGTTGAAAGATTAACGTTTCCTCGACTCGCTCAAGATTATCGTACGTGAATACGTCAACGTTTAGACTTTACAAACAAGTGACGATAGCGAAATCACGTGTATCATCTTCAATGGATGTTAGACAAGAAAAACGTGAATTTATGAAGTTTTTGTGTTTTTCATACAACTTGTAGAGGCGTTGGCTGAAAGTGGGCGTGTCTAATTATTCTATTTTTTTACTAATTTGGTCTACGTGGACTTTGGTTTGCTTCGTCCTTCAAATAGTTTCTGTCCGAGTCCATATCGATTTTTTTTCCAAATTCACCCAATTTCATAGTTATTAAATTTTTAGCGTTAAGAGTCGCATCTCAAACTAATTTGAAAAATCCCCGGGAATTCCCGCCTTAGGCAGTTCGATTTTTTCAAGTTATTTATAATTTTCACCCAATTTCGTTAGCAATATAGTCGAAAAATAGTTCGTAGTACTTGCTCCTTTATAGAATTAGTCTAAAAGGTAAAAATACTGGGTCCGTGGCCGAGTCCCCCAGTTTTCGACGCACCCGTGGTCGACGCCCCCGGTCAGTTAAATTCGATTTGAAGCAATTTTTAATCAAATGTACAGTCAGGCACAAAAATGTTTATAAACGAATAAATATTTATTAGGCCAGTAGAATTAAACACAAAAATGAATCTAATGAAATGAAAATAATTCCTACAAAAGTTTTTTGTTTCTTACTACTGCTAGTTTTGGGTAAAAATTTTGCTCCCAGATTGCATAAATAGCGTCAAACATGCATAGTTTAGTATAATAATTAGCTTGTGAAACTTTTTTCGTTGACTGTACTTAGTGCAAAAGCCGAAAAAAATATGATATTAAATTTATTTAAATCGGGGGCGTCCACCACGGGTGCGTCAAATACTGGGGGACTCGGCCACGGACCCAAAATATAAGTACGTAGTAGGTTAATTTCAGAAGAATACCAACCTGCTGTAATTTTTGTGACACAACTGCATTACTACACCTTTAAGAAATAATCTTTTAACACCTTTAACTCGGGCGATCAAAACGAACGTTAATTATCAAGTAATTACTTAAAACAAATGACGACAGATTCTTGCTCATTATAGAGATACCTATACACAACCCTCGTATCTCTTTTGAGTGTTCATTAGAAGTAATTCAATTTGGGAACATTTCTTGCGTATGACACAGTATTAAAGTAATATGAGTAATATGAAATGAAACTCTGTCGCTTGAATGTGGAATAATAGAACTTTATGAAGAAGGTTCACATACATTTTAATGAGTATAAGTTATTTTTTACATTTAAAAAAGTATGATAACGAGAAATGAACCTTTGTCACGTTTTATATTAAAGAGTTTTAAACTTTGTTTATTTATTTATTTATTGCGGTATACCAACAACATTACATACATGAAAATGTTACATATAGAAGTTTAGTGTGTATGCATGCATTAGATTTTGTAAAAGATGTACACATTTTAAGATAGAGTCAAGAAAATATTATAATGAAAGTGCTAGTTGGTTATAAAGTGATGTCTTTCAGCTCGAATGCTGTTCAATGTTTCTTGTTGTAAATCATCATAAATGTTTTTCTTCTAATTCTTGAACAAAAGCTCCCATAGAAAGCGAAAGCTTCTGTTAAATGTCAAAAATCTAACTAATTGTAATACATAGTGAAGTATCCTACGTCTTTAAATTTTAGTGTAAAATGTAGTTTAATTTATTAAAAACTAGGTTATGTCTTAAACATATTAGTGCAGTCAAAAACCAGATTTACCTAAGTACAGTCTCACGAAAAAGAACCATCTGTACCTCCTTATTTTACGATAGTATCGCACGAGTGAACCCAGATTAAACGGGTGCCGAAATGATTTAATTTTGATGTACGAAGTAAGTTAAATACGGCAGGAATTACACTTTCATATCGACTAGGTATCTACCTTTTTCATAAGAACGTTTGATATTAATATCAAATGATTGCCGCACTTGGAAATCTTTGAGTGGAAAATTTCGCGAGAGTGGTCTTAAAGCTTGGCTGGATAAAATGATGATGTGAACATTAATTTGGAAGACTTTAGTAAATATAAGAAAGAGTAGTAGTTTATTGCTGATAAATACACTAAAATTATTGTCATAATGAAACTGTCAATGTGCCAAACTTATTTTTCAGTTAGGTTATCCAACGATTGAAAAATTAAGCCTAATTAAAATGAAAAATAATAAATTACTGGGTTATGTGGGACGATATTCACCTGACTTTTTATCAGTCACCTGATATACTCAATGCTACAAATAACGCAATCTTATCACCGTAATTACATCATTACGTGATTTTGGTTCGCATTATGTGTGAGTTAAATAAGCCTTTTATCTCATCCTCGTGTCTGTTTGAATAATTATATCGAGTGTAGTAAATTAAAAACGTTTATAACTACAATAAACAATTAAATATTTCAAGTGCGTCTTATAAAACGAAATGTAAACCTTTAAGTATCGTTCGAACGTTCGTCGTTCATTCGTTTCAGCCAAATGACGCCCACCGCTGGACAAGGGCCTCCCCCAAGGTTTTCCACAATGAACGGTCCTGCGCTGCCCGCATCCAGGCTCTTCCCGCGACCTTTACCAGATCGTCGGTCCACCTAGTAGGAGGCCGGCCCATGCTGCGTCTTCCAGTCCGTTTATTCGTTACTGCTTAGCTTTATGTATCTCTACTCTAGTCTCTAAGTTGGCTTTTGTAGAGTCAACATCCAATACATTAGTCCGTGACACCCAAAAGTGTCCAAAAAGTTGATAACTCAAGCTTATTCTAATTGTATCAAAGACGTGTTGCGATCTTTTTGGCTACTTTGGGTGTTACAAATTTCTGATGCTGACTGTACCAGGTGTAGATTACTACTTGATAGATACTAGATATTTTCTAGTAGAGGTGTAAAGAGAAATTGTGCACTCTTGCGAAGCCACAAAGCTGGCATGTAGGTACTTAGGGCTGTAAGGAAATACCCTAGGACATGATATACCATGTCTAAGCTAGAATCTAGACCACACCACAAGCATGCGAACTAGAGCCAACCTGGAAGTGTTAGGATTTAACAGAAACTGTATATTTATTTAAGAATACACAGTCACTAAACTACGAATTCTAAGGCTGGGTTGCACCATCTTACTTTAACTTTGACAAAGGTCAAAAATCTGTCAAAATACAAAACACCGGTTATCGTTATAGTTACGGTCAAAGTTAGGTGGTGCAACTCAGCCTAAATGTTAATTACTACATTAATTAAAATGCTATCAAATTTCAAAACAATATCAGCTGTTGTCATGCAGCATGCTGATAAAATATCATTTTAGCATTTATTGCATTATACAGACGAGAATATAGAACAGGAAGACTTTTTAAGGTCATAAAACATGCTCTACGAGCTTATCGACGAGGTAGAGTCACTTATCTTGTGGTAGCGACAGTCTTTTGGTATTTTAATAAGCCTAACATCTGATACCAGAAAAACATTTATGAATAAAGTTACCTAAATATTTGCTCTATTACGTATAATAGGTACGGGTAGAGTTTATTTGTCATTTGAATAAGAATTTATAATATCATAACATGTCCAATTATTGTGAAATTGTCAATACAGATTATTAATAACAGTCAATTGCAGAATAAATAACAAATAAATACAAATAATCGTGTCCAATAAAATAGATTAATAGTATAAAAATAGAGTTGATGTCAAATAAATAGTGAGTATATCTCAGTGTCAATCAAATTTTAAACAGTTCGTAAATTTTATAGCATTTTGTTTTGGCGACATTGTATTTTTCATCTCAAAAAGTCTTTCATCTGTTTTTTTCTTTGGTATCAACCAAAGAAAAAATAATAATCCGAACATAAAACACGGATATTCTAAAATACCGATGATCGAGATAGAAAGTACAATCTCATAGCGACGACCGTAGTCCGCGTATATTTAAACGCTCTAATTCTGCGATGGGCGTGGCTATTTCGTAACTCAACGACCGACATTGACCTAGCGGAGCTGCGTGCGCGCACGTTTACTGATAACAACTGACACTTATTGGAAATGTGCCCCTAAAAAGTTGTTATTATCGATTGGAATAAACGTTACTGATAACAACTGACACTTATTGAAAATCTAAAAAAGAAATGTTACTATCGATTGGAATAACAAATCAGTAATAGCTTCAGTACGACTTTTTTCTACGTTTTATTGCTACGTGAAGCGAAAGCGATCACAAAAATGAAACTTTTTCTAAAGTGGTGTTCCTTCGCAGATCGTTTCATCATAATTTTAAGTTAGATTGGTTAGGGAGTTATGAGAATGTCATTAGTTGAAGCGTTTATCATCATTCTCATACCACTATGCACTGGCTAACTGGCATTCTAAACAACTATTATTACTGACGGGATTGCTACCATGTACCTTAATTTTGTGTTTCCATGAAAGTTTAAAACAATATTTTAAACAACGTGATAATACGAGTAGTCTCTAAATTCTTCTTAAGTACGTGTTGGCGTAAAACAATACATAGTATACCTACCTAATAGACGGACTAAGCTAGAATTTAAAAGCCTTTTTAATTTCTACGAATAAATAGAAAACCTACATCAGGGATCACACAACTTCAAGACACCTACCTAGTTAGGTACTTCACTTAGGTACAAAGTAAAGTAATTTTACGTCTTAATTTTAACATTCGCAATCCACCTGTATCGACGAAAAATCGTATTTTAAAGCAGTAGTCCACTGCGTTGAATGAATATTCAAGAAAAATCGGCGGAGCCATTTAATGTTACATTTACGTAGATTTAAAATTAAAATCCATTCAATTCGTCCAAAGATTATGTTAAATTATGCAGATGGACCTGAGTGAAACATTTTAAGGTTTGAAAAATACCTGGAAGCGCTGGGGACGAAAATTTTCAATTAAAACTGCGGTGAAAATTCTCGATGATAGGTAAACCTTTTTGGCACCTTTATCCCTCGTTACTTCGCGTTTTAATCTGATTTTAGGATAAAAGCGTTTTCAAATAATTTAGCTTTGAGCTAGATGTGTTACCTAGCTGTAATATAAGACTGACGTATGTAAGTATGCAGACAGTTTATGTAGTAAAAGTGTAAATTGAATGATGATATGACTAAACAGATACTGGCTATGTAGATCTTATTTTTTTTGTGTGTAAACAATAAAATTGCAATGAACAAAACAACACAGTAAAACATATACGATGTGCAATGAACTCTATTAGACCACTTACTTTAAATCAGCTTCAGTATTCCTTCGGCATAAACGTGTCATGTTAAAGTTCACACACGTATGAAGAAAGTTATTTTACAGGTGCACCTGTTTCACATTTGTTTTCACAAAACTTAATACCTATTAAGTAGAAAACAAAACACACACTAAACTGACAGTTCACAATTATCCAACAAGCGCAATGACGTTTTTCAAATTTAGAACTACCTACGCCGCTGAATGTTCGCGAGCTCTTTTTTTAAATCCGATACCACAGGCTGAGGTTTGTATTATGTGGCAAAGGTCATAAATTCATACAGCCTATTTTTCCGTGCAAAGGATTCACGTCATTGTTTTTCATCACATTTAAAAATAATAAAAAATAATTATTCTTTGCGCGCCAAATTGGTGCGTATTATAATATGTATTCTGTACTGATAGTCTAAATATAATATTGTGGAAAAGTAATTATGTGTTGTAAATGAAGCAAATAATTAAAATAATAAATTAAGGCTTTTCTTTACTCAATAAAATATCGATGTTTATAAACTACATATTATTTTTATTTCTTCAGGGCTTCACAGTTCGCGGCTACGACCCGTCCAAAGAGGCGTTGTCGGCGGCGGCCAAGACCGGCGTGAGCGGCGCCGACTCTATCGCCAAGGCAGTAGATGGCGCCGACGTCGTGGTATCCATCCTGCCCAGCAACAAAGTCGTGCTCGACGCTTACCTGGGCAAAGATGGCGTGGTTGCTCACGTAAGTATTACCATGATTACAGTTTTATCACACCATTTTAGGACGTCCACTGCTGAACATAGGCCTCTCCCGATGATTTCCAGGTTGGCCGGTTGGTAGCAGTTTTAAGAAAACAAATTCTAAATAGCAAAACTGTTACCATACTTGGGTGAGAAGCTATAAGTACTTAGTTGTGGGTGAATAGGTAGTTTCTTATATCAGCTGTCACAAAATGACTCAAAAACAAAATAAGTAGTCCTTTTTACTTGTATAGATTCTTTTACTTTTTTTTTTCGTATCGTAGATATGACCCAACTGAGAATTGAACACACGAAGTTATTTATCTGATTGGTGTTCTTGTAAGACATGACAATTAGAAGAGAGGAGGACCATTTTAGACTTTTCAAAAAACTTGTTAGAAATTAGAATACTTTAGTAATAACCTACTCACCTCATGAGTGTATTGCCGCTACAATCGCTACAGAAGAGCAGGGTGTAAAGAGGCCTTAAGTCTACAACACACACTTGAACTTGACACTTGGGCAAACACCGAATATGTAAATGCTTATGTAAATGAGTAAATGACGGCGATATTTGCGTACCATTTAGAACAATGGTAAAAAGATTATACGGACTTGTAACTGAAATTAAATTACTTACTCAAGATTTCAAGGTTAATTTATGAGTATTTGGAAGAAAGACTACCTGACTTCAAGTTTTTCAAAGTAGGTACTTATGTGATATTATGTCACAATACAATGATCAACCGTTTATTGGGATGATACAACCATTTAAACGGCTAAAGGCACATGACTACCTGGATACATTTTTGTTGCAAAATATCATCAATTAAAACTAAAACCGCCGTAAGGCCTTCATCATCATCATCATCATTTCAGCCATAGGACGTCCACTGCTGAACATAGGCCTCCCCCAACGACTTCCACATCGCACGGTTGGTAGCGGCCTGCATTCATCGCCTTCCTGCTACCTTTATCAGGTCGTCGGTCCACCTTGTGGGTGGACGTCTCACGTAAGGCCTTCGGTACAGTTAATGAAGCCAACTTTAAATAAGCCTTCTGTAGCCCGGTAATGTTTATATTATGCCTCTACATAAAATATGTTTGGAGTGTATTTAATTGGTCACCCATCCTTTCATTCAAACATAGTGATTATTATTTCCAGGCAAAGAAAGGGTCTCTCCTGATCGACTCCAGCACAGTAGACCCGAACGTCCCCAAACAAGTGTTCCCCGTCGCCCTCGAGAAGGGACAGGGCTTCATCGATGCGCCTGTATCAGGAGGTATGTAATCATCAACTCATCATCATCATCATCTCGATAAAATTATCGATAAAAGTTTATCTAGACGCACATCCTAGGCTTCGATATGTATGTATATTGATAGAGTCAAATCTTGATAACCAAGTATCAAAAAGAGGTGCTTATGATTGTGTGTAAACCTGTACTGATGTTTGGCAAAACTACCTACTTTCCTTACATAACACTACAGTGGGGTCTTTTTTTTGACGTACAGCATGACAAAAAACAAGTAAATATTACAAAATAATCTTATCGAGCCATCTATTTAGTAACGCATTTGGAGATAAAAAGCATCAAAACAAGCCTTTTATCATTGCTATCAGTTGGAAGCAAATGTTGGTGTAGAGACGAACAAACAAATTATTATATGAACATAGACGTATAATGTTAGGTAGTACTGCTACACAGTTTACAGCAAGCTAAATACTGCGGCCTATTTACGTAGTAGAACAATCGTAAGACGAAAATGTTAGCTTTATGTGCTACTCTCTTAGTTAAAGTTGACTACAGCCCGATCAAGCTAACTGCGCATTTCTCTGGAATGCGACTCTCCCTTCCACTTACCCGCACACCTACCTGCGTTCGCCCAGTCCGTACCAGAGCGTCGTTGTGACGTCACGGCTTCCACGCACCTGGCACCTTAACTCGACCGGGTTCTACAAAAACAAAAAAAACAGAAACAGTTACCATGTGCACAAGCCGGAATGATGTAATAGTATAGCCTCGTAAGCCCGGATGTGCCTCAGAAGGAACTGAAACTTTGTAGTCAGTAACGCCGAGACATTTTCGGAGGTGATTTCGAAGTATCGCCGGATGTGCCTTCAGAGGAACTAAAACTTTAGCGATAAATTTAAGTTCAAAAATTCGCGCCTATCGAAAAAAAAAGAGTGATAGTCTATGGCTTAAAGTATTCAAAATCAGGTATCCAAACTTATTTATAAAAAAAAACAAAATGTCACTGTCAAATTATCATTTTTCTTTGACAAGGTGGTTCGTCCGAGAAGACATGATGTGCCATTAATTTTTTTNTTTTATTACACAATTGCTTCAGCTATACTTACTTTAAAATAGGAGATAATGTATGTGATTTAGACCGATATAATTCATGGTATATGGTGTAATACTTAATAAAATAGTAGTTTCAGATCAGAATAAACATTTAAGGAGTAAATAATTAGATTTCAGTCTCAAATTCTAGCCTTATTCCTTTACAATCGCCACTTATATCACTTTACACATAGTTATTTGGATACTTAGATCGCTGTTATGTTAGTTAGATCAGTTTACACATTTTTTTTCTCACCACAAAATTGGTGTATATTGATATAAGTAAAAAATTTTGGACGATTTACCCTCAATAACCTGAAATAATGATTTCTCATAGTGTAATTACTTATGTTTGTTTTACAACTTTTTCTAAAATTGAATAAACAAAAAATTATCAACAAAAATGGCGGAAAATGTATCACTTTACACTTGTTAGCGTGTGGTCAATTCAGTGTGGTGTAAAATGATTTATGTCCCATTACATCACTTTACACGAATGTAAAGTTGTCATGCATGGTGATATAACTGTGTTTTTATTTAATTACGAAAAAACCACACGCTATATTTCCCAAACTGGCACACTGCCTAATTATATCTAACATTACCTTTCACCTAAAAAATATTTCACCAAGTTATCTCTAATAGCGATGAAGCAGGATTTTTTTTAACTTCAAATGCGATTTCCCAAAAATCACCATTTTCGACTTAACTCCCTTTTCACTGGGGGTACAGATTTTTTGTTAGTATGTGTGGGACAACTCTTGCAACTGAATATAAGACTAGTTTTCCTCAACCGATTGAGCTGAAATTTGGTATACATACTTATGTAAGTCCGATGACAATGCAATGTTATAGTACCATTGAGGTGGTCTGATGATGGAGTCATGAGGTGGCCATAGGAACTCCTAAATGAAACGGCGGCATCGCATCGAATTTGGGTTCGTTAAATTTGTCTTTTCGAGCACTTTAGTACTAGATGGTGTCCAGGGTCCTGACGATGGAGTCAGGAGGTGGCCATAGGAATTCCTAAACGAAACGGTGGAAACTTATCGAGTTTGGGTTTGCTGGATTTGTCTTTTCGAGCACTTTGGTGCTAAATTGTATTACAGTCATACAGTCACTTTTCATATTTTCTTCTAAGGAATTTTCACTAGTTAAGAAATTTTGTAATTAAAAAAATTAAAAATTGTTTATTGACAAAAAGTTTTATACAATATTTGTGCGGAGGCTTCCCAGTAAGTAATCGGAGATACTTGTGTTGGGAATGTCTCGCATCTTTCCAAACGGTAAACAAAATTACTTAGCTCTTTGCAAAATACAATTTGTAGAGGTACAAAAGAGTGAGTGTTGTAATACATGAGTTAAATGACTATTACTCTCAAAGTAATTGCTGTATCTTAACCGCTATAGTTTTCCTTGAAAGTTCATGAATAGCAGTGTTATCACGAATTTTTCCAGATTTTTCAAGCCAACAGTTTAGTTTTTAGAGTGGGGGCCCGACTCGAACAAAAATTGCCACTTTAAACTTTAATAATTTGCAAACAGATCCCTAAATGGAAAAAAAGTCTTAGGAACCCCTAAGCCATTTTAAAAGACCTATCCAACTATACCCCACACGATGGGGTTGAAGATGAAAAAAAAATTCATCCCCACTTTACATGTAGGGGGAAATTTTATCCAAATTTTAATCGACCGTTTTGTCGGCGTGATTAATATACATATCTCTACAAAATTACAGCTCCCTAGTGCCAATAGTTTCCANGTCTATTATATAGGGCCCCTGAAAATATGAATGCAAAAGAAAATCTCTAACATAAAAATTTTTTTACTCGAAGTGCTCGGCGTTTACTACTACAAATTATTCGTTCTTCTGAAAGCACATTCGGCGATAATTAGAAGTCGACAAAATTTACTCTTCGGTCTTACGAGGATAGTATACATTTCCGTTGCACAGATGATGTAAAAGATATATAAATTATAAACTCTGATAATAAATAGGCATGTTGTTGTTTATCAGAGAAGTCAAGTTTATGCAAGTCAGGTCAATCGATCATGAGCGGATTGTTGTAATCGATTAATGTTTTAAGTAATGTGCAGCAATAGTTATTGAAATTACTTTTTAATTATCGTCTTTTTGTCACAATTTATGGTGGATTTTTTTAAAATTAGAGCTTACTTAGATTAAATAAATAAATAAATATATCTTTGGACAATCTCACACAGCGCCATCTAGCCCCAAAGTAAGCAATTAATATGCTTGTGTTATGTTATTAACCCATTTAGACCGATAATTATTTTTTTAAATAAAAATCTATTTTTCAGCAAAAACTTACAAAGGGAAGTCTAAAAATCATGAAAAAAATATTAAAAAAAATAATCCATAAATAGGAGGCCGTGGGGAGCCCGTACCATATAGGGTACAGTAGGTCTATAAGCAAGCAAAACATAGTCGTTATTCAAAGAAGATTTTTATTTATTTTTGTATGATATAAAATAAAAATAAAATCACATAATCACTAGTATCACACTTGGCATATCTTGTAAGACGTTTTCTGTGATACTAACCACATTTGGTTCTTTTTTCCTACCATCTCCGAAGTTAGTGAGGATAGCTGAAGAAGACCTGGCTTCTTCTGATTTGTTATGTCTAGTGCTATCCATAATCGCATTTAGCAACACGACGATGCAAATGTAGCAAATCTATCGAAGAAAACTCTGAGAGTTATTATTTACATTGACACTATCTTTATCGCCTAAATCTTCGTCAATCTGATCATCATTAGCGGTCATCTGACAAGATAGCAGTAGAAAAATACCAAGATTGCTTTATGTTTGCTGAAATTATCAAATTTTTCATGAGTTGTGGTAATATAGTGAAGCATCAATAGCCTAAAACAAATAAAAATAATAAATATTAAATTATATTTTTTAGCATGATTTGCTCATGCATATACCTACTGTACCTTATACGGTACACCTATTTTAGACTGGAATAAACCGTATAAAAATAATCTTAATAATATTTTTTTTGTAGTCATGATATCTATTGTAGTCTATTTTTAAAATAAAATTGATAAATAACATAATTTACCATGAATAATAAGAAATTATACCTTCTTAAATACATTGTAAATTTTTTTTTGTTTTCTGTCGAGAAATTTCATTCATATTTCCAAAACCACTTGTTAAAACATATTTTTAAATATTTTTATGTAAAATAATCACTTTAAGCTTACTGTCACAATCATTTTTACAAATTAACAACAGTTTGGTACTTCGAAATATTTTCGAAAAGATACCGTACCACATAGGGTACGGTAGGGCTAAATGGGTTAAGTAGAGTTACTTTTCATTCTGGTAATAGAAATACGTAGGTAAACTCAAAACTAATTCATCAAGTCACTCAGAGTTAGAAGTATCAGCATGCTTTTAAACATTCGCAAAAATAACATAATCTAAGATTCTAAACCCCTCAAGTTTTTGGAAACCTAACTTTCAAAAAGCTAACCTTTCGAAAACCTCCTAACTCTTAAAAATAACTTAACCAATTAACCGAAAACTTAACTCTTCTAAAACCTAACTCAGAAAACCTAGCTCTTCCAAAACCTAACTATACGAAAACCAAACTCATCTAAAGCTTAATTCAGAAAATCTATTCGAAAACCTAACTCTTCCAAAACCTAACCCAGAAAACCTATTTATTCGAAAACCTAACATTATTTAAACCTAACTCCTCTAAAACCTAACGTAGAAAACTGATACATGATTATCCGATGATTATGTGTATTGTAGTAATTTGTAAGGTACTAAAATGGATTCAAACAAATATTCAACCGTTCCAGGTGTGATGGGAGCTCAGAACGCCACCCTAGCCTTCATGGCCGGAGGCCGCAAAGAGGACTTCGACCGGTCGCTCCCCCTCCTCAAAGCCATGGGCGCCAAGCAGTTCCACTGCGGCGAGGTCGGCGCCGGCCAAGTGGCCAAGCTGGCCAACAACATGCTGATGGGCATCACCGGCATGGCCACAGCCGAGTGCATGAACATGGGCATCAAGTGAGTTCGTTCGTTCGTTTCAGCCGAAAGAAGTCCACTACTGGACAAAGGCCTCCCCCAAGGATTTCCACAAAGACCGGTCCTGCGCCGCTCGCATCCAGGCACCTCCCACGACCTTCACCAGATCGCCGGTCCACCTAGTGGGAGGTCCGCCCACGCTACGTCTTCCGGCTCGTGGACGCCACTCAAAAACTTTCCTGCTCCAGCGGCCATCAGCTCTACGAGCTATGTGCCCCAAGTGAGTACTCTTTGTTAACTCCACTCCTCAAAGCCATGGGCCAAGCAGTTCCACTGCGGCGAGGTCGGCGCCGGCCAAGTGGCCAAGCTGGCCAACAACATGCTGATGGGCATCACCGGCATGGCCACTGCTGAGTGCATGAACATGGGCATCAAGTGAGTACTTTTCCTTTTCTTGTTTGACTTCTAGCTTTTGCTTATTTACAATTCACAGCACTGGTTCAAATTATTGTTCTGAAGTAGTGAAAGAGATTCATTGGAACGTGAAAAAGCGCCTTTTAAAAGCTTAGTAATTGTAAAAAAAAAGTCTATTTGAAATTACCAGTAAAGGCTTCTCTATAGGATCAGACAGGGTGTGGCAGACTTTAAAGACGTTTGAAATAGATTTGAAGATCCTAAGTAATCCTAGCTTTCATATTATGTTTCAAAATCAATTTAAGGATTTGGGGCAAGATTTGCGAAATCTACTCAATAAATAAATAATTAATATAAAAAAAAAACATATTCCGTAATCAATTATATTAGAGGAGATAAGTAAATAAATATATGTCAGAACAAAGCCCTAGAGATAGGGTCTGATATTATGTAAATCTGACCTCATAGAATCTAAATAAGGGTAATCTAATCACCGCACTGATTTTTATCTAATAATGGATTTTCACAATCCCAATATTTACATACAATTATGTAAATGAAGGTTCAATTCTTTTGAGAAATATTTCAGGATAAGTTCGCAATCTCTTTGAAATACTCGGGCGAATTGCGGGCTGCGGCCGACTGAGTAAGGCTTAATACAGACTTCTTAGCCCATAGATGCCTAATCTATGATTTATATAAAAGCGTGAAAGCGCTTTTTCAAAGCCTGAACCAGATAATGTTTAAGACTAGTGAAGTAAAGCGAAATAATGATATCAACAAGATTATTATGAATACCGATGGGGCAGCAAGGTTCTGGAGTGGAGGCTACGTATCGGAAAGCGCAGCGTAGGACAAGGTGGACCGACGACCTCATAAAGGCAGTAGGAAGGCGCTGTATGCGGGCAGGCCGCTACTAACCAGCCATTATGACAATCGTTAGGGGAGGCCTATGTTCTTAAGTGGACGTCCTATGGCTGAAATGATGATGATGATGATTAAACAGATGCTTCCCAATTTGATGTTAGGAAAAATTAAAATGAGGAATTCTCATATAGTCTACGCAAATATACTTCAGAATGTTTGTACATAAGATTTGATGAAAGTCAACAGAAACAAAACTCAATCGGATCCATAAAAAGTCCTGTCTGAACCTTTTGAAAAAAACAGGGTCTCTATGTAAGCAGCTTGGTCTGTGGTCCCAAATAATAGGCGTCTAGACATTTTAATCTTATCTAAGTTTTGAGGGGACTAATTTATGTTTGATATTTGTTTGCGTATTGTTTTCAAATTTCAATTAGTTATTTGTCTGGAACTTTAGGATTGGCTTACCACTCGAAACGAAAATCTCTTTTCGAAGATAATGAAATCTCAAATTAAATTGAATCAAAAATGAAGATGTTTTATACAAACAAGTTAGTAAATTCGCAGACAATTTACGAGCTTAACCAATCAACGCCAAAGAAGATTGCAGACTGAATAATAATAAGTTAATTTTGGAACAGACAGTGAGAAATAAGGTCCAAATTATGGTTGCGATATAAAAATTCGTGCCCAACTTATTAGTGTGTTCTTTTTGCGAGACTTTCCTATAGAAAACAAAAGAAATGATCTTTCTATAAATAGAAACGACGACTGGCGCAATTTGCCACTGTATCCAGTTCTGACCAAATCTTAACGATAAATCAGCGGTAAACTAAAGTTTTGTTTGATGAAACTTTTTTTTAATAATAAGTAGGTACTTACTTGTAAGAAAACAAATACATACATCAAAATAGATATGTTCGAATTCTAGTTAGTTAATCCTAGTTATTGGTTATATCTCAGGAGACACGAGCCATCAACGTAGGCTTAAGACTCATTAAAATCTACGTCTAGCATTAATCTGATTCCCTTTCATGGAATACTAGTCATTTTCATTCAAAAACTAGCTACATAGATGTCAGCCCTTTTCAGGACACCTAAATGTCCTAAATATAGCTTGCGCTACCACTATTTCTGAAACAATTAATCTGTGTTGTGGTCAGAAGAACCCTGGCCAGAGTGCGGAGTATAGACCAAATCCTTCTTTTTGTCTTTTGTAATTAGAGAGGGTTCTTCTGTAGTGGAGACTAAGGGCCTTATTAATAAAAGTTGCATTCTAGTTCAACTCTGCTTAAAGTTGTAATTAAGTATGGAAATGTCACTTTAATCCAGAGTTCGTCCTAGGTGTAAGTTACGCCTAAAGTTACACCGTGCAACTTTTTATTAATAAGGGGGTAAATGACCTGATAATGACCTGATGACAATGACAGCAGGTTTCTCTTTCTAGAAAGGGATTCGACTTACATTTTTGGTACTCTGTGTATGCTGAGTTCAATCAGCGACAAATAGTTCGTTCCAAAGTGGCCATAAAGTTGAAAACAAAACCTTATTCCAATTGTAACAAAGACTTTTCAGCTATTTTGGGTGTCACGAACTATTTGACGCAGACTGGACAACTCCTGAAGAGAGAGATGGCGGGAGATCGTGCGGAGAGTTGTATTCGCTTCTACAACTGATGTGAACAACGCCTCAACGTGACCACGACCGCTCTGCAAAGAGCGTAACGAATAATAATAAGAAGAAGAAGTACAATTCCTTTTTAGAGGACCTCAACCTGCCTGTATTGTGCTCTAGGCTAGGCTTCACATTAGGTGGACTAACGATCTGGTGAAGGTCGGGAATTACCCAATGGGTAGCCTGGTGAGAGGCATTTGTCTAGAAGTGAACATTATTTGGCTGAAACGAATGAACAGACGATGCTGACCTGTGGTTTTCTTTCCAGGATAACCTGCCAGTATTGTGCTTATAAATAGGCATGCTTTGCACTAGGTGGACCAACGATCTAGTGAAGGTCAAAGAACGCGGTGGTGCGGCAGTGCAAGACCTATCGTCCTTGTGAGGGTTTTGTCCAGCAGGGGACATTATTTAGCTGAAACGAATGAACGAACGATGCTGACCAGTGGTAAACGAATGAATGAACGATGCTGACCTGTGGTTTTCTTTCCAGGATGGGCCTGGACCCGCAAGTATTACTGGATGTTCTGAACAACTCGTCAGCCCGCTCGTGGTCCACCGAGGTATACTGCCCTGTCCCTGGACTGGTGCCCACGGCGCCCTCTAGCAGGAACTACGACGGTGGTTTCAAGAACGAACTTATGGTTAAGGTGAGATCTATTTGCTTGTATCAAGGTGGTTGAAACAGCGTTAAAAAAAGATTTCAAACGCTCTTTTAGGAAATATTCTTTGGCAAGTTATTCGTATGTCAAAAACATTAGATACAGTATGTGAAAACCAACCCTTTTCAACTCAAAAAGTGTTTCAGCAACTAGTCTAACGCCATTTTTCAATCAAGATCAACATCAAAAGGATTCTCTTCGGGCTAGAGAGGTTTTTTTTAAATCTTATTGTGTTGAAAATACACAAACACAGTGGGCAACAGTTCCAGCTACCCATTTCCGGTCATGTTGTTTAGTTCTAATGCAAAGAAATACCATTTGAAGAAAGCGAAAGAAAAAACGTAAATGGGTAGTTGGAACTATCGCCTACTGTACATGTATAGGGATACCTACATGCTTAGTTTTTGACTATTCCCACCTCTCGTTCCCACCACTGCAACTCCTGTGTAGCCAGGATCTACAGCTTGACCGCCACAAAAACCCAACCAATGAAGGTCAAGTTTGCATGCTTAGTTTGTGACATCATAATAAAATTAGCATTTTTGACAAATGCCACAGTAGAAGCAGAGTAAATATCAGCAGGTCATCTTCATAGAAACGCCCGAGCGCGGTTTGTATGTGAGCGCGCCAATACGTATGCGGCGCGCACGCACACACTGACAAAATTTAGCGTGGAATAAGTACGTATCGGCGCGCGCTCACATACAAACCGTGCTCGGTGCGTTTCTATGAAGATGACCTACCCATTTGTATTTACTCTGGTAGAAGTCCAGGAATTGTATTTTATGTAATGGTAGCAGGTTATTTGCAACCAAATATTCCTTCCCAGGACTTGGAGCTGGCCAGCGGCATGGCGCTCGGCATCCGGTCACCCATCCCGCTAGGAGCGGTGGCCACGCAGCTGTACCGCATCGTGCAGTCGCGCGGCTACGGGCAGAAGGACTTCTCCTTCGTCTACCAGCTGCTGAAGGACGACAAGACTAAATAGAATACAGATTTAAGTTAGCACGCGTTTGTTTTATTTTGTTACCTAATGTACGCAATCATGCCGATGGGATCCTAGGATCTTAGAGTACCTAGCTTATGCCAGCCTGCATTCTAAAGTCTGGTCCGGGAGCACGTAGAATTTGGTCCAATGACCCCAAGCTACCCATCGCGCGGGTAATTATGTTGCTGTCGCGCTCGCACGCGGGCGCCCGTCCCACAGTCGACAGCAATATAATTACGCGCGAGCGATAAGGATGGGTAGCTTGGGGTCATTGGACAAAATTCTACGTGCTCCCGGACCAGACTATAGTCTGTCACAGGAAAACTTATCGCACGCGTTCTAAAACCGGGACAAACTATCCTACTCCTCTGCCATCATCTATCTCCTCACTCTCTTATAGCCTGCGTGTCTGCTTAATGCAAGTGAGCAAGAAGTTACTGATTAGATACCAAAGTGAGCTCTAAACGTCATCAACTTCTAGATAACTTACGTTCATTTCATTGACTTGGAGCTGCCAGTCTTCTCTCAAGCACAATATCTGAAGTTTTCATCCCTCTCACACAACGCGAGATGCCAGCATGAGCGACAGTGACAGACAGACCGAAACTGGTCACCCATCCCGCTGGGCGCGGTGGCCACGCAGCTGTACCGCATCGTGCAGTCGCGCGGCTACGGGCAGAAGGACTTCTCCTTCGTCTACCAGCTGCTGAAGGACGACAAGACTAAATAGAATACAGATTTAAGTTAGCACGCGTTCGTTTTATTTAGATACTCCCAATCTCATCATCATCATTTCAGCCATGGGACGACCAATGCTGAAATTCATGGCTTCCTTCAATGATTTCCATATAGCCCGGTTGGTTACGGCCTACATCCAGCGCCTTCCTGCTACAATTATGAGAACAGCACCGATGTCTGATGGGACAGAAAAGTTCTGGAGTGGAGGCCACGTACCAGAAAACGCAGCGTTGGGGAGTCCCGACCGGTGGACTGACGACAAAAATACTCATCAATAAAAACTGATACCTAATGGGGGTCCATAGACACGTCAAGACGATTGTAAATGACACACATGGTTGACGATACACTATCATTTGTGCTAGACGCAAGTATCTAAAAGTATACTTATCAGTATTTTGTGATCAATATCCGGGTGGCGTCTTTCCATTCTATACATACTTAGCCAGAACGCAAGGGTGTGAAACTAATCGAGTATAGTTTGGATATGACTTTTTTTACTAAGCTCCTCCAAACTATACACGACCAGTACGCATACGCTGCGTACTGCTCGCGTATACTTTGTAGTGACTTAGGTCAATTATCTTCCTCCAAAATATACATCGCCAGTACGCATACGGACTAATCATGTATGTATTGTAATAAGTGCGTGATTACAATTTATACGCGAGTCATTTTGACTTATTNGGGGGAAATTTTATCCAAATTTTAATCGACCGTTTTGTCGGCGTGATTAATATACATATCTCTACAAAATTACAGCTCCCTAGTGCCAATAGTTTCCAAGCAAAACCTCGGACAGACAGACAGACATATCGAAACTATAAGGGATCCTTGTCAGGTCTACGGAAGTACGGAACCCTAAAAAAGAGGAATAAATTCCATGCGCGATACAGATATAGCTTTCGAAATTATTTGAACCTTGCATACAATTATTTTTTTCGTTTTATTATCATGTGTTAACGGATTAACGATTAACGTTAACTTGCGTTAAGTCTTGTGAAATGTAACGTTTTAACGTTTAACGAAGTTAATTTTTTAATTAACGGTTTAACGATTAACGAAGTTAACTATTTGGTTAACGGTGCCCAGCTATGGTGTAGTAGAAACTAATCGAGTATAGTTTGGAGATGACTTTTTTACTAAGCTCCTCCAAACTATACACGATCAGTACGCAAAATTCGTGTATAGTTTGGAGTCACAGATTTACAAACAGGCACTACGAAATATACACGAGCAGTTTCCTATGGGTGCGTTCTGGCCATGTATAGAACGGAAAGACGCATCCGGGTGATCTAATCCAGGTAATCAGAATGGAATAGACGTTTTGATTAAAATAGAAGGACAAATCCATACATAATAACTCTGGTTCTGTCATACTTAAGCTAAACTCGTAACAATTTGCAAACATACGAACTGGTATAATTTACAATGCTGTAATGGCGTTATGGGACCATTACTTCGTTCAATTAACACATTTGTATGCTAATCTGACTATTTGGCTTGAAAACGTTTGGTATTGCAAATGTTTTACAGTTTTCTTTGCGAGTGACATGTTTATTAGCAATATAGTATACTCTTTAAAAAAAGTAGTAAATCTTACCAGTAAAATGTCCCAGAATATTCATAGAATTCATTGTTTTTCTTACTATGATAATTGTATTTTGGATTGATATCTTCTTAAGACTATTCTGCTGGAATAACTCTGACAAATACTTATAGAAAACAATAAAAAAATATTTCTCTCTCGCTAAAATAACATTAGCTATAATTTCCCGCATCCTGTTTTTAATTCCCCAACTGGCCCGGTCAACAAAGAATGTCGTCCATATTGAGTTTTGGAGGGAAAAAATCGAATAAAGGACAATAGGAGGGTCGGTCTGCGTCATAATCATATTTTTCTCGGCACAAAAGAGTTCTTACGTTAATGTGGCCAGTAATAAATGAAAGTCAGCAGCATATAGTCTTTTTTGAGCAGCGAAATTCGGCCAGCATTCGAGCCGACATTAAAAGAATTTTCCTCTTTTTTTAGAATGAAATATTCGGGCAAGATGTGCAGTGGCAGGTCGAATGAATGGCGGAGCCCAGCGTTATATTATATATTGCATTTGTGAAATATTTAAAGGTTTGTCTTTTGTAACGGAATTATTGGTCAGTTCAAAATACTCTAATGCAATTTTGTTCAGTATTTTGTACTAGTTTACTGAAATATTTCAGTTTGTAGAGCGGTATTATTCCCGCGTATGATTAATTATTGCTGATATAGCCATATTAGCCATGCCATGTCATTTTCTTTCAGCATAAATGGTGTCATATACAATTCCACTGGTAGACATTTGTTAATTTTATCGGAAAGAATAAGCCAAGGCAAAAAAATTAAGTATTCTCTAATTTCAATACGAAAAAAATCCGTGTTGAAAATTTAATTCGTCCACGGCATAAATTCTGTGGTGACTGTGGCGCCAGCTGCCAGCGGCGAATCTTTAACCTTTGTTTCAACAAATACGAATAGAATGACATTTATATTGTTGGGCATGGCAGTGCCGCCGCCAAGTTTGTAAAGACCGCCCTTAATACGCGGTATATTTCAATGTCTACATAATAAAAGGCAACATTAATGTACGCTACCCTATAGGGCATAGAGTATCGCCGCATGTAAACACTATATTTTCTTTACAGTGATATTAGTTATTATGATTTCATATCAATTTATCTGCCGTTTGCCTTTGAATGATTATTTATCACTCAAAGCCCTTTTTCCGGTTTAATCTACTAGAATACGACTAAAATATCTTTATAACAACGACAAAACAGTTTTTAGAATCGGAAATTCATTTACTACTTTTAAGTTTTTATTCAGAGTCTGGAGATGCTAAAGATAGGTATTCATTACAATTATTCTGATTGAAGATCTTAATCAAAACATCTCAGTAAGAATTTAGCGTAAAAAATTAGCAACCCTTTATGAACTTAGCCTCCCTTTTACCCAAACTGTTTTGTTGTAATTTTATTTTTATTTTCCGGAGCCCGACGCCATCTGCTCGGGATCAATGGAGAGAAAATGATTTTGTCATTATGAAAACATCAGTGAGTCTTTATGATTTAGGATGTTATATTTTCTCCTGGGCTAGTGTTTCTGAAAGAAAGGAAAAATATACCAGGATTAGTACGAGACAGATTTGTACCTAACTGTTTTCAACGCGGTATCCTCTGAAAAGCGCTGAAAATGTTTTATTTTGACTCCTTAAGTAAAATTCTAGGTTATTATAAAACTGAACTGTAATAGAATATCGAAATCATTATCATCATTTCAGCCATAGGACGTCCACTGCTGAACATAGGCCTTCCCTAATGATTTCCACAATAGCCGATTGGTGGCGGCCTGCATCCAGCGCCTTCCTGCTACCTTTATGAGGTCGTTTTATGCCGACGACCTCAAAACTCCATAGGTATAATTATTTACACAAAGTAGGTAACTTTGGCTATATGCCAAAAAAGGAACTAATCGCAAAGTGCTCCACACCTTATCAAAGAAATCCTCATTATGGGAACCGTCGGCCATTCCCATACAATTTAATTAGAAACAATAGATTGAAATGGAAGGAATTAGCGATATTCTCGGCCCGCTCACGTATTCCCCCCACGTAGACCACAAAAGAAAATTAAGGGTGCTTCTGTATTTTTTTCGGAAGGCCGCCCCTTACCTGGTTAGGGTGACCAGATTTGTGAATAACGTGGATATTACAAAACTAGCGGCCGCCCGCGACTTCGTACGCGTGGATCCCGTTTTAACCCCTTAGGGGTGGAGTTTCGTAAAATCCTTTCTTAGCGAATGACTAGCTACGTCATTATAACATCTCTACCTGCATGCCAAATTTCAGCCCGATCCGTCCAGTGGTTTGGGCTGTGTGTTGATAGATCACTTTGTTAGTCAGTCAGTCGGTCACCTTTGAGTTATATAATATTTAGATGCATGCTCAAGCGATCAGTGTCTGAAGAGAGAGGTATTCGATCAGTGCATTATTGACCAATTGAGCTGAAACGTGAACTAAAAGTTTACACGTGTAATAGCTATGTGACAATAAAGCTAGCCCAGTAACTTACACGTCTTCCTCAACTCAAGTACATAGATCGATGCTCTTAGCCACTAGGTGGACGGACTTTTCTTCCATTAAATGTCAACGCTTTCAACACTTATTTCATCACTTACCATCAGGTGATCCGTCTGCTCGTTTGCCTCCTGTCACATAAAAAAAACCTAATTGACTTTTAATTAAAAATATGAATTGAATATCACAGACCATAAACAAAAATTACTCAAGCGTCAAAATATTACGTTTTCAACCATAGACGGCTCCAGGGATATAAAGCCAACGCGTGGAGTGTTCAACTGAAAATACTCGAGGTCTTCCAAGAACCCCAAGCATTGAGTTACTAACGACTTATCGTGAGTTTTCATTCAAAAAGGTTTTACATATTAAAATAAAAGCAAAAATTGATTTATATTGGGGTTCTGTTTAAATTATTTCAAGAAAATATAGAGACGATGGAAAGATTAGTAAATTATTCATGTAGAAACCATTTGATGGACCGACGACCATAAGAAAATGGCAGTCTCTCTTTAGGTCAGGCTTACGTTAAGCAGTGGACTTCCATAGTTTAAAATAATGATGATGAATATCACAAAACTACTAAGGCATCCGTAACACGAAACCACAAGGTGGACCGACGACCTCATAAAGGTAGCGAAGGCGCTTTATGCAGACCTCTACCAACCGGTCAATATTAAATTATTGGGGGAGCCTATGTTCAGCAGTGGACGTCCTATGGCTGAAATGACGATGACTGACTAAGGCTTCTTAAAAGTCTTTTTACATACTTTAAAAATATCCCATTTGTCCCGGATAACTGTCAACCCTACTCCATAGGTAGACGCAAAATGTATCGAGGAGATTCAAATGGAATTCACGTCACGACCGACCATTACTTGTCGACAGTGACTTCCAATTTCT